CATGTATGAACACGAATATACTTAGACTGCGCATGTATGAACACGAATATACTCTGACTGCGCATGTATGAACACGAATAGACTTTGACTGCGCATGTATGAACACGAATAGACTTTGACTGCGCATGTATGAACACGAATATACTTTGACTGCGCGTTTATGTACTCTGACACATAGTCACTGCACAGAAATGTACGCGAATACACAATTAATAATTGCTTGCGTACGCACACGAATATGCCCAAGCTGTGCGTACGCGCGGTTTGCTGGTCGTATGCATTTGAGTATATTTCTCAATGGGAAGCATCGGCATTGCAGGAGGGCCCTTGTGTTGAAATAAAGCGCTTGTGACCACAGACATCGACGCAGACAATGTGAGTTGGCAACGTGAATCTTGAGTGATACTGTCATCTATGTTTAACAATTGAATCCTGATTCTACTTAAACTATAGTAAGATCTAGTTTTGTCACATGCTGACTGTGATCGTGTGTATCGCTCTTTCATATAGATGCAGTGTCCATGTTTGTATTGTTTATTCATTTGAGTGAGCACTCATTCATTTGTGTTCAGTGTCTGCTTGTGTAAGGCTCATTCATTTGAGTAAATGCTCATTCATTTGTGTGATGTGTCTGTGTGTGTGTATCGCTCATTCATTTGAGTGGTAATCTTCGTTCTTGGTCACGTGCAGTGTATGTGTTTGTATTGTTCATTCACTTGAGACCGAACCTCCTCTTGAATGACAATGCAGTTTTTGCTGCAGTTTTTGTCACTGCTCTGCAGACTCTGCAGCGTGACATGACACTCTTCCGGTCACAAGCAGCAAGGCACACATGCTTCGAGTCTAATGCGATTTTTATTTGTAGAAACTCGTATGGATTTTGTTTGTTATATTCTGTGTTTTGTTGAATGATTTACACGAAAATAAATTTTCATTCGTCTTTGGATTATTCTTATAGATATTGCGATTTTTCTTGATTGCTGTACGTTTAATTATTTTAGAACGGAATGTTTAATTTTTTCTCTCTATTTACATTCAAATATTTGTACATTGAGTAATGCGTTCGTACGAGTTTTATTTTTTAGCTGCGCTAGATGATTTGACGAACTCTTTGAGAAATCAGCATGAATTTGAAAAAAAGAATTGTGAATCGTATCAGCTTGATTTCCTGAACTTTATAAGAGGAATTCTAATTTTGAATTTAAGTTGATAATCTTACTTTAACGCTTGTTCACTGTCGCTAGTAATGTAAATGTGAAATTATACAGATTTAAATCAATTTTTATAAGTATGAACACGGAATGATTCAATGTTGAGTTAGACAAATTTATTATTTTTTTATGGTATTATTGTATTTTATATTGCTTCTTATATTTCTCATAACTTCTGTTCTGCTGTTTGACAAGGCGTATTTCGATCTGATGTTTTTCTCTTCGTAGAGTGAATTTTTATTTCAATTGTAGCTGACTGAAGCAATCGATTTGATTGTAGTAAATTTTTATTTTAAATATGGCTGGATTTTTTTGGTTTTCTAATATGGCAAGATGAATGCGTAATTCGCGTCTGTTGAAATTCATTATCATTTGAATCCAGTTTATCGAATTATTCCGAATTAGGTATAAATCTCATATACCTAATTCGGTGGCTCCTGTAACATGAGTTTTGGATTGACATGGATGGCTTGGGTAGTTGAGACTGCGTGAGCCTTCATCGCGATTGTTTGTTTTCAGCAGCACTCGAGCAGCGAACGACCGCTCAAAAAATTGTCTCAGGATAAATAAAGGAATAACAGCGGCTTTAGAACCTGAGCCTGCGGAATGCCCAAGCAAAAAAAGGTGTCTCCATTTGCGAGTGGGAGTCGGTACTATTTTATCAGCTTTCGTAAAGAGTTTAGTCTGTTGCTTGAACTTCAAGTTATAATAGGTGATCAACATCACGTGTGTGAAAGATTTTATGGATTAGTGAGCTGGTTGTATGAGCTGTCGTAAGAACTGTAGACATTAACTGCAGGCACGTCTAGCGATAGCCTTCTAATTTCTGCTATTTCTATTTACGGTATTTTAATTTGTTTAGACAGCACTCATACTAATTTAATTCATGTTAAACTTTGTCATCTTTTATCTCTCTTATTCGCGTTTTTAAGCAATAATTTTCTTTACATCGAACTTTTTCTTAATTACTTACATTGTTTTTCAGAACTCGCTCATTCCCGCCATCGGCTGTGACGTGGCATAATTCGATATATTATCTCTATTTGTATTCAGTATCCCGACTGTAACACCCACAGTCAGAGGCCCTCACATCGATTCGGACTTGGATTAGAAGGAAGGGGTTCGTTTTCCTGTTTGAAATAAATCAGCGTCCGTGAGAAGCTTAACTTCATATTTGTTCTCACGCGTGATGTTGAGGTTCAGGCTCGAGTCGTTAAGAAGACGGGTAACCTTGCCGCTCGCACCCTTGGCATGATGTTCAAATGTGGGTGATGTTATGTCTCCCGTATTTCATTAATTACAATTTAATGATGACGTAACTTTAATATTAATAAGCACAAATTCTCTAATATTCGAATTGAGATTAGCTAATTTCTATAATTACCTCCACCAGGCAAAATTTGAGTGAGATTTTCTTAAAGATGCAACATTAGAACATAAAGACAATATTATCCCACATTGAGAGCCAACACGTTGATGTGGTCAGATGCCCATGGTGTATATGGTGACCAATTATTTTGGAGTTGTGCATCTAAGTGAGTGTGAAACGGAGGGATGTTTTGACAAGACAGCTGAGCATTTTTACGATTTGCAAGCCAAAAAAGGCAATAGCGTTCAATGGCGTTGTAAATGGGAGTATAAAATAATTAATAAAATGGAAGGTATGAAAGTAATACATTTAACTATGGTGGAAGTCACAGGAGATGTATAATTAAAACGACCCATATCAGCAAATTTCATTTAATACATTGGCATAATTTGGAGCAATAAGAAGCTTCTAAACGCATCCTTATTCTGATGACTCCTGCCGCATTATCAACGAAAATTTTCAATCCCTGTTTGGGATTAACAACGCCTGTTGTGGGCGGGGCATGTGAGGCGTCCTGAGGGCATGCGGGCTACCCTCGCTTGCCCTCAGTACAGCACCTGTCGCAGTGCACCGCCAGGCGTGGTCCAGTGAGCGTGTTATGTGCTTCTCGACCTGCCACGCTTACAGGCGTAAATTGCTGCTAATCCATGCTACTAAATATTTTAATTGATGCGAGATCAGAGTCTAGACACGTTATCATTTATAGACACAATTATTCGTAATTCTCGCTAAAGAACCGTGCGTAGTTCTTTAGTTTGTCGTTGTTTTTCGCATAATTTTTTATATTTGTATACCATCTAAACAAGATTTAGATTTAATGTGATCAAAAAGTTGAGCAGAAGAAGCTTGTATTATGGACGCATTGATGCTATCTTGGTGACCACGAAAATTATCAATAATCTCGCATGAATCTATAACTGCCTTCTTGTGAAAGCTGTTTTAGAGAACAACAATAAAAAAACTTGGTGAGTATAAATTTATGCAAAGGAAATAAACATATTTTTAATATTATTTCGTTTGTCATGCATCGCAATTTACCATATATTATGAACTCGAGAAGACTTTCTTTTTATTGAAGCGAAAAATACAACAAGATGCGCTATTAAAAAATTTGAGTCATATCAGGTTGAGGGCGGCGCTGAGTTAAATTAAGTAATTTGAAAACATACCAGTTGATTTTCTGGATAATCTATAGTCTTTCGTATGACACGTACACCAGGCACGACTTTCACGTATCCGTCTGGGCGGGGCTTTTATCACTCATCGCAATATCAAAAGAATCGAAGCTAATGGAAAAAAGTTCAAAGCATTGGCTTTTACATATATGTGTGTGGAATTACAGATTTTTTTAATTAAGATAATACTCAATCCAAAAACCAGCAAAGTAAAAAATCAATTATTATTTTTCTCATTATCCATTTTCGCATATTGGTATGTAAAGGAAATCTGCATTTCTCTACCTCTTCTTCGATTCTACAATGGATTATGAGGACCGTTACTTACATTGTTCACGTATATTCTATTATTCCTTCCTTCACTATTCACATATATGTATATAGGAGTCACCATGTTTGCCAAGCTCCGTTTTGTCATCCACAAAAGCCAATTTTCGTTTTGTCATTCACAAAAGCCAATTTTCATTTTGTCATTCACAAAACCAATCTTCGTTTTGTCATTCACAAAAGCCAATCTTCGTCTTGTCATTCACAAAGCCAATCTTCGTTTTGTCATTTACAAAAGCCAATATTCGTTTTGACATTCACAAAAACCAACCTTCTCCTTGTCATTCACAAAAGCCAATTTTCATTTTGTCATTCACAAAGCCAATCTTCGTTTTGTCATTCACAAAAGCCGATCTTCGTTTTGACATTCACAAAAACCAATCTGCGCCTTGTCATTCACAAAAGCCAATTTTCATTTTGTCATTCACAAAAGCCGATCTTCGTTTTGTCATTCACATAAGCACCAATCTTCGTTTTGTCATTCACAAAAGCCAATCTTCGTTTTGTCATTCACAAAAACCAATCTTCGTTTTGTCATTCACAAAAACATATCATCGTTTTGTCATTCACAAAAGCCAATCTTCGTTTTGTCATTCACAAAAAGCAATCTTCTTCTTGTCATTCACAAAAGCTGTCACGTTCTCCAACCTGCGTCGCGTTGGTCGCCCGTGCTGCTTATGAGCAGTTTTTATTGAGCCGATTGTCCTTTGTGTCCTTTCGGCTCTTCCCGAACTCGATTTTCGCTTTAACTTCATTCACTTGACTATTGTCCACCCAATGAAAAAGTCGGTGCATGAAAAACTTCTTCGAGCTGAACTCTCATGAGTTTTTACGAGAAAATAAAAACGTTGCTTACATTTTTGATTGATGATGGTTTGAACGAAAATGAGTCGCACAATATACGTGCGTTTTTTGTCAAGTTAATTTTATTTAATACGTGACTTGAACGTCTCAAATAATATCATTGATCAGGCTTAGTTACACTTATTTTTATTCGGTTTCGGGAAAACCTTTGGAATTTATTTCATTGTCACATACTAGAAATATTCAGCATGTGATCAAGAGTTTTAAATGATATCAAGTAAAGTTTATTTATTCTGCAAATCGTCATTCGTACAATTGCGACCTTACCTTCATGCTGCTCATGCCGAATCTATTTCTTATTTCCTATCATCAAAATATTAATTCATTAGCTACACTTCCATATGTGTGTGTGTTTAAATTGTGCTTATAGTTTACGTTCTTTCGTTACAGGCAAAATGCACCTCGAGAGCGGGCCCGACCCCGCGCCGTTCTATTCACCCTACGGCAATCAAAGCTGTGAACTCGCGGTGGTCGAAATGTCGGAAAATTTGAGGTACTTTTCAAGACAGCCGTCTCCCGACACTACTTACAGCTCACTCTGCAATAATTATCTTCGAGACAACGCCTCTCCCTCACAGTTCAATGCAAATACCAATCTTGCCTTCAACCAAACTTATTGCACGGACCAATCTGAACACGACAAGCAGATGGTAGGCGAGTGTTTCACGACTGCCATTCATTCGATGCCTCTCACCCCTCCATCCATTAATGTGGAAGAGGCCGAAGGTTGCATTCGGGACACCTCGCTGATGACCTCAAGCAACGCCATCGCCGAGGCCCTTGGAGGCCTCAATGAGGACTTCAACCTCATCGAAGATGAGTGGTCGAGTTCACTGGACTCTCTGCTGACGGAGATACCGCCAACAACTCAACTGCCGGAGCTCGTTGTCGGCGACCAGAATGAGAAAGTAAACGCAATTGCGGAGACACTATCGCATTCGGGTGAAGTTTTGGACAGCATTCCACTCAATCAACTTTTGAACTTGCCAAATCCCGGTACATTCGAAGCAGTCGTTGCTACTTCAGAGACGACAACTCAATGTTCTCCCATGAGCATTTCTCCTTTTGGATCCTCCTTCCCATCGCCTCAAACTTCTCTCAGAAGTTCATTTAATTACGGACGCCGGTTGAAGAGATCACATTCCGCCTCACCTCTTCATCCCGAAGGTCTCGATGTGAATTCCATAATCAGGGTCTCCCCCAACTGCTTGCAATCAAGACCACAGTGCTCAGGGAACAATTTTTATGAAAATAATTTTATTTCATCAACAAACGGAAGTTACGGACACCTGTTAACACGCCCGGAAACGAACAATAATAATGTCCAACGATCCAATTTGAATTTTACCAATTTGCTCTCAGATTTCAATTCAAGAGCAATTCGTCACACCAGGTCATCTGACTTTATGAACGCAACGAACCCTTTGGAATCGTCACCCTTTTTGCTCGATAGCTCGAAAAAAGATAGCTCGGTTGATCAATTTCTTTATCTCGAGAGGACTTCAGGCAATGTAGAGCAAACATTCACTCCAACCACTCAATATGAACCACCATCGATATCACAGACCTCATTCCCTCAAGACCGCTCCTTCCTTTACTCCACATCAAGTCAGTCGCCAAAACTGGACGAATTTACCGTCAGTTCCTCATCTTCGCGACCTCCCCTCAGTCCTCCGCACTCGAGGGGCTGTGCAGCAGAGGAGCCATCAACACCCGACGACGACTTCACCGAAGATGAGCCCCGCGTGTGTCGCTGGGTTGACTGCAACGCTTCGTTCAGTGACCGGGCGGCGTTGTCGCGGCACATCGAGAGGGCGCACGTAGACCAGAGGAAGGGCGACGACTACACTTGCTTCTGGGCGGCGTGTCAGCGGAAATACCGAGCGTTCAATGCCCGCTACAAGCTGCTCATACACATGAGGGTTCATTCCGGGGAGAAGCCAAACAAATGCACGGTACGTAGTTTGATTTTAAATTCGATCATATTTAAAATCTGAATCGTTACTATTAGAAGACATGCAAGTTAACTCAGCTAGCGCTAATAAATAATTTAATTGATTAATTTTAATAATCACTCAATTTTTGAAGACATGCAAGTTAACTCAGCTAGCGCTAATAAATAATCAAATTTATAAATTTTAAAAATCACTCAAGTAATGAAATGAATAATCCGGTATGACTGTGTTAGTTTCTCTTATAGTTTATCCTCATTTATCGTATTCACGTGTGAGGTCAAACGTCAATTGACTGTCAACAGGCACTGAACAAGTTCGTTCACTTGAACTATTATGTGAACCATTAGTTCGTATAACTCAGCCAAATTTTAAAAAATCTCTGTATAATTATTTCTTTTTAAGTTGATTTTCATGATTTTTATGTATGAAATCTTTTAAATTTCATTCAAGTTCCTTCAATGCTGATTAGGACTCGTATGTCGTCGTGTACTTCCTATTTCTGCTCCTTTCTTTTATGTGCGTCCTATTATCAGCTTCTTTTATTCTGAACTACTTTCTTATAAAGGCATCTTAGTCCAGAACTTTTATTTGTTCCTGGTCTTCTTGTACCGTGAAATTTTCTTATACCGGGACTTCCTCTTATTTCCTCTCAAGATTTTTTGTACTATTCCTCTCAAGATTTTTTGTACTAGACTTATTCATATACTGGGTCTTTTTCATATGCTGGGATTTATTATACTTTGACCTAACAATACCCGGATTTCTTCATGTACCATAAATATTAATACCGAGCCTTTATCTTATACAGGGACTTCTTGCATGGATGTCTTCTAATATCGAAACTCCGTCCTATACCAGAACTTTTATACCGGACTTCTTCCTATACCGGAACGTCTTATACCGATCCTTTTTCTCATACCGGTACTTCTTCCCATACCGTAACTTCTTACACCGAGCCTTCTTCTCATATCATGCACGGCTTCTTTTTCCCCACAACTTTTTAACGATACAGAACCGTAGAAGCTGCGTCTTTATTACTCATTGTTTTAACGTTTAGAGAAACAGTTGGTAAGTAGGAGACGAGAAGTTGTCATGTGTCGAGACGGGCGCTGCATCCATCATCCTCGAGAGCCTCGCAGGTTCAGTAATGCGACACCGCCTCTTCAAGTCGCTGCCGAGGCCTTGCATAGGCAACATTGCTCAACATTTTCATCTCAGTTGTCGCCTTGCGTTGAACAATAAATTATTTCAATAATTGAACATTGTTTAGAAGCGATCGGGTTCATTTCGTTGCTTTGGTTGCGTCGAATTAATAGTTGTCCTGGGAAAAAGTGTCCAATAGATGATCTTTAGTAACGACTTCGCCTGCAATATATGCACGGAACTTGTCGGCGCGGTAGGTATGAAGCAGCAGCTCGCGCTTGCAATACTCGAGTACAATTTAAATTGTAATTTGAATGAAATTAGACAATTATAAACATAATCTTCGTTTTTAATGATACTATCGTTCTAAAGTGTAGATAAAAAGAGTACATTACAACTTTACAAGATAATAACAAATAAAAAAGACATGAAAATAACCTATTTTTTAATAATTTTATTCAATTTGATTTATTTGAATGCTAGAAACTTAGCCTGATTTCGGGCACAAAGACAGTGAGGAAGCTGAGCGTTTAGTGCCTGCCCTACGTTAATGCTTGTAGCTGATACTGCGACAACACTCACAAGTGTTGGTGTCGGGTGTCATAGCACCAGCGCTGTTAACGGCTTCGTGCTTAAACCCATTTCCTTCCCTCTTTTTATTCGGTTCTTCATGTTATACCTTAATCTTATTGGCTTTTCACTAAAGTAAACCTGGTCTCTTGTTTCTACTCTGGTGCTCTTACCGCGTATTGTCTCAAACTGGGAGCGTCAACTATAATCTCAGCTAAGGTCATTGCCATTGAATCAGTTGGCGTTTACGTCGCCAGCCTTCAATAAAACCGATGTATATAATAAAAACCGAAACCATAGTTTTATAGCAAGCTCAAAACTGCTTAGGAATTAATATTTGTTCATCGAAGCTTACAAACCGCAGCTCCGAACAGTGAGTATTACACGGTTTTTGTTGAAGAGCTGCGAGCTTAGTTTAGTCTCTGGTGACTGGCGACTCCTGACATCGACGTTGCACAGTTAACCCAAATAATGCATGCGGCTTTTAGTACTATTAATTTTGGTTTTATAGTCTTATTCATTTTGGTTTTATAGTCTTATTCATTTTGGTTTTATAGTCTTATTCATTTTGGTTTTATAGACTTATCCATTTTAGTTTTATAGTCTTATCCATTATTTTTCATTATTGTTCACAGTTCAGCGGATGCGACAAGGCCTTTTCTCGACTGGAGAACCTCAAGATTCACCAACGGAGCCACACAGGCGAGCGGCCGTACGTGTGCGTGCACCAACACTGCAGCAAGGCCTTCAGCAACTCTTCGGACCGCGCCAAGCACCAACGCACGCACCTCGACGCAGTTAGTGTCAACTCTCTAACTAACAACCGTTATTGCACGCACCTCGACGCTTTTAATGTAAAATTTCTACTTAACAACCGTTTGTGCAGATTTGTTCTTTTCCCAATTTTTGTGAAAATGGCCTCGCATGACATGGTGTGTAGTGGCCATATTAATGGCCTCGCATGACATGGTGTGTAGTGGCCACATTAATGGCCTCGCATGAAATGGTGTGTAGTGGCCACATTAATGGCCTCGCATGAAATGGTGTATAGCGGCCACATTAATGGCCTCGCATGAAATGGTGTGTAGTGGCCACATTAATGGCCTCGCATGAAATGGTGTGTAGTGGCCACATTAATGGCCTCGCATGACATGGTGTATAGCGGCCACATTAATGGCCTCGCATGACATGGTGTATAGCGGCCACATTAATGGCCTTGCACGACATGGTGTGTAATGGCCACATTAATGGCCTCGCATGTAATGGTGTGTAGCGGTCACATTGGAGGAATGGAAATGGAAGAAGGCAGAAGCATAACACGGTTGTCGTAGTGTGATTATTAGAATTTTAAAATCACAATCTTGAATCGAGATAAAAAAATATATTGCAAGAACTAAGAAAAGTAAACTCATCAATTTTAAATGAAACAAGCCAGTCATGAAATAATGAATATTAATGATAGTAATCATTATAAGTAATGATAAAATTTGTTCTAATGTACACACGTACGTATCACAGAAGCCGTACGTCTGCCACGTGCCAGGCTGCCACAAGCGCTACACCGACCCCTCCAGCTTACGCAAGCATGTGAAGAACCACAGCGCCAGAGACCAGCTCATCGCTAAGGTTCTTAGACTGACATTCTCACATAGACTAACATTCTCACTTAGACTGTCTAACATTCTCACTTAGACTCACTCACTGACTGACATTCTGACTTAGACTGACTGACATTCTGACTAAGACTGACTAACATTCTCACTTAGACTCACTGACTGACATTCCGACTTAGACTGACTAACATTCTGACTTTGACTGACTAACATTCTCACTTAGACTGACTAACATTCTCACTTAGACTGACTAACATACTCACTTAGACTGTCTAACATTCTCACTTAGACTCACTCACTGACTGACATTCTGACTTAGACTGACTGACATTCCGACTTAGACTGACTGACTGACATTCTGACTTAGACTGACTGACTGACATTCTGACTTAGACTATGTATGTATTCACTGTATATTGTACATTACAGCGCCAGTAACTGCATATATTCGCTGTATATTGTAAATTACAGCGCCAGTGACTGTATGTATTCGCTATATATTGTACAGTAAAGCGCCAGTAACTGCACGTATTCCCCCCAGAGTCGGTCATGCGACAACTACAGCAGCGTCCGACGACCTTCCCTCGCACCCTCGCCCTCCCTGCTGACGGGGGGCGACAAGCCCGGCTGTCCTAACGCCCCTGGTGCTGCCTCCACTCCCCAGGCCGAAGGTCAGGGGCGAATATTGTTTATTTCAGAACAAAATAAATCTTTAATCTCATTTATTTTGATCTAGTATCGCATACATGACCTATTATTTATCAATAATAAATATTATAATTTATTTCTCTTCCTATTCATTGTCGAATTTTTCTTCAACCCTGATTTAAGTTACTTATATTCATGATAAGTTATCGCGACACAAAGATGGTCTTCTGTACGAATACACAAAAAAAAACTGCCTGGTGATATCTTCTCATCAGAAGAGTTGTCTCTTCAAACGTGATGCTGTGACGTCATATTTTAGCCACTACTATCAATGCAGTTACTCCGTCTCCATAATGTAAAAGCTGACACGCATAGGTTGTCAATTCTCAACAGTGAACAGTTTATGCATAACAGTGGTTTTGCCGTGACGCTAATAACAATGTTGCAGCGCTGCCGTATTAGCTTCAAGGAACATGATGCTTTTATGGTTCTGTTAGAGACAGGCAGTATTGAACCTTCAGACACATCGTTGCGGTAGGACAAGAATATATTGCAGCTAGATCACAATCTTGAACGTCCACACCAGGATTATTATTATTATTATTTTACGAAGCATTTATCGTGGCGTCTGTTCCAACGAACTTCGAGGGCACGTCACAAATAAGATTAATAGCAAGCGAAAAATAAATAGACACATGAAAGGATCGGAACGGATAAAATGACTAAGCTCTAGATTCATAGGCTCTACGAAATAGTTCCGTCTTTAGGCGTCGACAAAACACCTGCAACGAAGGAGCCGAAGTTACGGAAGCCGGCAGACTGTTCCAGGTTCTGGCGGCGTCTTCATCAAGATATCGTTCATTTTACTGAAGGATCTAAAGATCACTATCTTAATGTTGACAGAATAATAGTTCGTTAACCAGCAGAATCATGATCTCGTAAATCAACCATCGTATTTGGTCAATATATTTGGTCATTAACATAAAGAATAATGATTATTGTTGTTGCAGGAGGAGACTCCCCGCCTCCCTGCGCCGGGGGGGACGTTGTGCGTTTCAGCCTGCGCTGCCACGTGCTGTCGCGACGCCCGCGGGACATCCACGAGACAACTGGACTCCCGCAGCTCGAACTGGCATCCCAAGAGGACCTGGATCTCTGGATCAGCTGAGGCGCTGGTGTCAGGAAGGTCTGGATCAGCTGAGGCGTTGGTGCCAGGAAGGTCTGGATCAGCTGAGGCGCTGGTGCCAGGAAGGTCTGGATCAGCTGAGGCGTTGGTGCCAGGAAGATCTGGATCAGCTGAGGCGTTGTTGCCAGGAAGGTCTGGATCAGCTGAGGCGTTGGTGCCAGGAACGTCTGGATCAGCTGAGGCGCTGGTGCCAGGAAGGTCTGGATCAGCTGAGGCGCTGGTGCCAGGAAGGTCTGGATCAGCTGAGGCGCTGGTGCCGGGAAGGTCTGGATCAGCTGAGGCGCTGGTGCCAGCAAGATCTGGATCAGCTGAGGAACTGGTTCAGTGTATTTGATCTCAGTCGACGGTATTTCATTAGATCAGTTAAGCCTTTAAAGACAGCAACAGGCAGTAATTGTATCAATAACACGGATATCAAGAGGAAGTTGAGTGCTGGTTTCAACCAGATAATATATGAGGTTTGCAAATGCTTTTGTACATAGAGCACCAAGTTAAACAATACAAATTTATTACAATACTCAGTAATGTATTTGCCGGAACGCTACTCGACCACACTCTGCATTGCAGGATAAGTATAAGTCGTAGTCGTCATTGGATAAGTCGTAGATTTAAATTTCATCAACAGAGCTTAGCTTGGAGCAAAAGTGCAAACATTGCGAATTGCGCTGTACAAGATGTTCAATGATGATAGGTCTTTGCGATCACAATTTAAGCCTTAAACTCAACACAAAAGTAATCTTAAGTTATTGTGATACCTGAAGTGGTACAATGGGCTTTCACTGGTGTGAGCGAGTATTAATACATTCGTCGTCACTCCTTGCAGTTTTTTTACCACAAAATAAACACGTGCAAGGTACTGCGGGACGCTGCATATTACACCAAAAACAAAAATAACAATTGTTAACATAATAATTGTTCACGGTTAACAAGCGAGCGAATGAAAACGCGTTCGACACTCGTTCTTGAGTTCTTAACGGGCGTCAACAGCCAAACGTTTTCGCGGTGTAAATAAACATCGAGAAAACTTGCACGTGCCTAGTGCAAAGCGACTGCTAGTTCAGGTGCATTGCAACGTGTGATATTAGTATTTGGCCAAAAAAATACGTGTACGATGATAACGTATCTGAAGAAAATTTTATAATAGGAGTTGATGGCCCGACTCGATAAACGTGGCTTGGATGAGGTTCGTGTATGCGTTTACGCAGGCCAATGACGCATGTTCCTGACGCAGTGAATGTCACGCACGAGATAACAATGCAGAGGCGTTATGCTCTATTCAACATGTTTGCGGTGCTCTCATAACACTGAATATCAATATTAGTCCAATAAATTACCATCACCCAAATTAATCATACAACTACATAACAAGTCCAAGTGATAGATTAAAATTATTTTTACGATGAAGAATAAATTTGTTTAGTTCCAGAAATTAATAGAACTACATAATATAAGGATATGATAAACCTCTTTAGGCGTCAGGACGCAGAAAAGGACACTTTTTCAGAGCACAGAATTGCAAAAATAAAATACGCGCAAAATATCCACCGCAGTTGATTCTTAGTCGGGCTTTTTCCCGCAGTATGTAGCAACGCTTCCTGTTTTAAATGCATGATTAGAAAATGAAACATTTGCAAATTGCCATCAAACTTTACGGCTATTTCGTTCTACCCCCGCGGACCGCGGTATGTTGCTTGTCCAGATCTGGGCACCTGATCCAGATCAGGTGCCCAGAGGGCACCTGACGCCCGTCCTACCCTCGCGGTACGTAGCAGAGCTGCTTGTCCAGAGGGCACCTGACGCCCATCCTGTTGACGGTCTCGTCGGTGAGGGTGACGCCCCGCGGCGCGCGGATGTCGAAGTTCTGGACGAGGGCGGCGGTGAAGAGGAAGAGCTCCATTCGGGCCAGCGCCTCCCCCACGCACTGACGCTTGCCTGTCAACGTGCAGACATACAGTGCAATAGTTTATGCAATTATCAGCGCTTTTTAAATAGTTAAATTACTTGCAGAGGCTGTAGAATTTTGTTTTTCAGTGCTACAAGGTACTAATCAATATCGTATATTCGTTGGTTGAAAATTTCTGACGGAAGACACATTGTTAAACTATCCAATCGCGCATAAAGAACATAAGTCTATAAACGATTCATATTTTTTCTCAAAGCCTAAACCGTGATATTTCATTAAGAAGATATCTTCAGGTTGCTGAATGACAGCAGAAGGGAGGCTCATCAGTATTTTTTATAACAGGAAAAATGAGCATTTACTGGTATGGAGGTTTTATGACGTGAAAAATATGTCAAAATATTTCTTATACACTACAACATTCATGTTTTCTATAGGAAAGGTTAACTGAACTGAATGAACAATGAGCAAAAACGGCATTTAGTATTTATAAATTTTCAATACATGAATGAAGCCTGATTGAACACAACGAAAAACGGGTCTAGTAGATTCAATCCTCGCATAGTCAGAAATTCTCAAACTCATAATAAACATCAGAATTGTTAAGTTTACACCATTGAAAAACTTTAAATAAAAATCTACATGAACTAAATAATCAATTACCGAGGCCAAAAGCGAAGATGCCTTCCCTGGGCGCGACGAAGTTACCGGCGGGGTCGAGGAAGCGGTCAGGGAGGAACTCGTGCGGGTGCCTCCAGTATTGCGGGTCGAAGTGGATGGAGTAGTTGCAGACCGTGATGGACGTGTCCTGGTAAACGAACATTCACTGATAAATGTATTGAGTTAACTTTATTTAGAATTGATTGTACTGAACAGCTCATATTGTTTCTATTTATCATCACAGAAACTGTCCAGCCGCCGCATCAAGGCTGATGTCAGGAACCAGTGACAGAACTGATACAGTCTGTCAGCCACCGCGTCAAGTCTGATACAGTCTGTCAGNTCTGTCAGCCACCGCGCCAAGGCTGATACAGTCTGTCAGCCACCGCGTCAAGGCTGATACAGTCTGTCAGCCACCGCGCCAAGGCTGATACAGTCTGTCAGCCACCCCGCCAAGACTTATACAGTCTGTCAGCCATAGCGCAAAAACTTATACAGTCTGTCAGCCACAGCGCCAAGACTTATACAGTCTGTCAGCCACCGCGCCAAGGCTGATACAGTCTGTCAGCCACCGCGCCAAGGCTGATACAGTCTGTCAGCAACAGCGCCAAGACTTATCATTGAACTGAACTGATTTTTTTTATTACTCACAATGTTAATATATCAATGTCTGTGCGCTATTTCACTAAGGCGAAGTTCGCGCAAGCTACAATGGAGGAACATTTTTGCGTATATAAGGGCTGTTGACGCACCTATCTAGGATACATTTCGCGTCGACATATTAACTGGAACTGTTATTTGCTTCTTAGTGAGAAAATAGCAAGGCCTCTAGAGCAGATGGCGAGTTGTCCAAGTTGTGGAGTCCAAGCGCCTAGTGCAGGTAGTGAGTTTGGCTCTACGCCCCTAGAGCAGGTGGCGAGTTTGGCTCCAAGTCTCCTATGCTCCAAAAGCATAAATGAAAACATTTACTAGCAGCACGCTTAAGTCCTACGCACCACATCTCCGTTACCTACGGAAATGTGACTGCAGGCGCACCAGCGGAGCTGCATGCCCCCTACGTGGGATATGTCCACTTAATTTGGGAGCATCGACATATAGGGATGAAGTAGCCTAGGATACCTTGGGGATGAATTAGCCTAGGATACCTTAGGGATGAAGTAGCCCAGGATGCTGGTGTCCTGAAGAGCAGAGTGCTGGAGGTTGAGCTCCAGGAGGGAAGAGAAGCGCAGCATCTCAGTGATGAAGGCCTCCAGCAGCGGCAACCTGCAACAATCGTTCGTCGTGAACTATATACATAAGTATTAGTAAATAATAATTGCATAACCATACCAACGACGGTTCCTAGGATTTTTGGCCAGCTGTGGACACGCACACATTATTGTATGAGCAGCCAAAAACTAGCGTATCGCGAAATTTAACTACTAATTACTTGTCATTAATTGAAAAATTTCCTTTAGTGAAGATGGCTTCAAAGGACATCAGTCCCTAGGACCTTACCAAGCCTCCCACGCAGGGAAGTAAGTAAGTCAGAACACACTTGCAAATTCTACTGATGAAAATGTACAGCGTTTACAGGGGCTTTTTTATTCGAAACAAATTAGATTGACAGTTACGGTTCTAAAATAAACCATAATTACTGCCAATAGCAGTTAAATACTGACAATCTCAACAAACGGGTTTCCGGAAAACAGAACCTGCTTATGCAATAATTTTTTTGGTAATCAGCTAAAACTCAAAACGATAACAAATGAGCATCAGAAACTTTAAAACATCACGTGCGGCAAACGGCTGCCTGCGCCTCACTCCTGGTTTATGCACAGCACGCGCGGTTGCCTGCTCCTCACTCTGGTTTATGCACAGCACGCGCGGTAGCCTGCGCCTCACTCTAGTTCATGCACAGCACGCGCGGTAGCCTGCGCCTCACTCTGGTTTATGCACAGCACGCGCAGTTGCCTGCGCCTCACTCTAGTTCATGCACAGCACGCGCGGGGCTGCCTGCTCCTCACTCTGGTTCATGCACAGCACGCGCGGTTGCCTGCTCCTCACTTAGGCTTATGCAGAAGCGACACGGTTTCGTCCCTTGGGACGACGTCGTCTATCTGTTGCCGCAGTCGTTCTGCCACGTCAGGATATCGCGCCAACAGGAACGCCACCCACTTCAGCGATGAGCTCACAGTGTCTGAACCTGCTGAGAACAGGTCTGCGATGACCTGCATGAGACCTGCAATAGCGGGATAGGTCAGCAAGACTTGCATGAGACCAGCATTGTCAGGGTAGGTTAGCGAGACCAACATAAGACCTGCAGTGTCAGGGTAGGTTAGCGAGACAAACATAAGACCTGCAGTGTCAGGGTAGGTTAGCGAGACAAACATAAGACCTGCAGTGTCAGGGTAGGTTAGCGAGACAAACATAAGACCTGCAGTGTCAGGGTAGGTTAGCGAGACCAACATAAGACCTGCAATGTCAGGGTAGATTAGCGAGACCTACATGAGACCTGCAGTGTCAGGGTAGGTTAGTGAGACCTGCAACTGAAGGAAAATTCAGCTGTACTAAATACACCTAAAAATGTGACAACAAGCTGGTAAAGTGTAAAGAAAAGGGAAAAGGAAATTGAATAACGGGAGAGACTTAAAAATGAGCCATTGCCCGCGCGTGTATGTTTATTTAATTGCTTAACTATTGCTCTGGCGACATGTCTTGAACAAAGCCAGCAGCCACACCAGCCAACACCTCTATTAAGGGATCTGTGCTCCGTCAGATTGATGTTATCAGTGAACTGCCAGCAGGAGCTGCGTAGCGGTGCAAGGATGAGCTTGGCAGTTTCTATGAAATTTTGACCGCAATTTATGCGCTTCATAATACGTAAATGAGGAAGCATTAACTTTGCTCGTGTTAACTGTACGATGTACGTGTACGTGGTATTAGCAACGATCTACCCTCATGAAACCTTTGTTGGAAATCCAAAATTATTATCTAGAAGGTAAGAAAATAAAGTATAATTTAATAAAATGATGAAAAACTCTAATAAAATTTTACCCCCACCATATTTTACCAATATTTTGAAAAAGATAAAGTCACTCACTGCCTTTCCTGAAGAGGTTGTCCGGCCCCCCCTCCTTCATCCCCTGGAGGTAGGCGGTGATGAGGTCTTCGGCGTGGTCGAGAGCGTCGACGTCGCGCCGCTCGTGTTCCTCGATCGTCTCCTGGGCGATCGTTCAGAGAAATGCCAGTCTTCCACGTAAAACATTATTACCTTACAAAACATCTATCGGAAAAAGTAAAGTCAGAACCAAGTTTGATGTAAAAATTTTGCAATAATGGGTACAATTTTGCATCTATAAATTCGGAAACAAACTAATTCTTCACTTGAAGAAATTGTTTCAAATCCATCACATTGAAAATAATTGCTGACAGACTTGAAGGTTTTATAAATGATGCGATAAAATAGTTCTTTTACCTACTTCCAAACAAACTGTTCTTATACGCAAGTGATAAATCAGAAATGTAATAATCCTCCACCAGTCATTGCTATCCATTAAATTTCTGAAAAAAAATCAATGCAAATGTAAAACATCGTCCAGCTTCTTTCTTGCACCTAAAATTTTGTGATTAAAGGCTATCGTCAAAGGATGTGATGGTCGTCAAAACTTTATCTCACGTTGACCATCTGCTGGCGGTATTTGATGAAGTCGTCGAGCAGGCGCTCTTTAAACAACAAATTTCGCACAAACTTCGGCAGCTTTCTCATCCACGGGAAGAACATTGGGAGGAAAAATAACGGCGTCGCGGTATCTTGAAGTGCTTTGTTGGCTTTATAAAGCTTGTCCACTTCCAACGAGTTGATATCGTAGCGCCGGCCTGCCCAGTAAAGTGAAAAGAAATAGTTTATTTACAGAACTTAGAACAAACCTAGCGTCTGATTAACCAAACCGTGAAAACACGAACGATGTTTTGATCCTCTTGAACAGAAATAACACATAGATCTAGAGGCAGAATCAAAATAACGATGGAACAATCTTGGGTCCAACTTTACACCTCCGACTGATTTCACCAAACTAAAACGAAACTGTAATACGTAGAGAAATCCTTCTTGTCTCTAATTTATAACCCTATTATTATGGGCAACTAGTGCATATATATAGTTTCAGAGTTACTCTCCCTGGTGATCGCACATTATGTTGCTAAACCGATTGAATGCTAGACGCTGAGTCAGCATCAACATCACGTGAGCATGACCGCTTCCAGGCTTTGGCGGAAGCTTCAAGCCTATAAAAGGGCTAAATACTTTGACAAATTCCTCTCACAGTAGCTTGCACAGCCGCAACGATGTAGCACTCATTGTAGGGTTTACTCCGACCTGACGGCCGAAGATGTTAGTACCTGTCAGTATCTTTGTATACCGACTGAAACGCCCCACCCCGTATCGAGATAAGTCTAAGATGGAAGGTGTCTTCACTTATCCCTCACATATTCATCGAATCTCTGTCCTCAGGTTAAACCTATACAATATATACTGGCGGGAACATCCAATTGCTTCTGACTGGATTGCTAGCAGGAACTGTCATAAGGATTGTCTGGGCTTCGGCAATCTCGATCATTACAACTGTGGTGACAAACGAAATTAAAGCGGAATTTTCTGACGTCATCTCTGTTATGAGTTGTGCCGCTTTCATGAGTCATGTTGCCATCACTGCACTGGCAAATTGTGATGGGCTTGACACCATCCGCTAAGCGGCACATCGGCCATTAACCTGCCACTAACTACCAGTTGCAACACTGACAATCAAGCAGCACACTAACCTGACACCACTTGCCACAAGATATTCAAGGAGCACACTGACCTGACACCACTTGCCACAAGATATTCAAGGAGCACACTAACCTGCCACCATCTGCCACACGATGTTTAAGGAGCACATTAACCTGCCACCATCAGCCACACGATGTTTAAGGAGCACACTAACCTGCCACCATCTGCCACACGATGTTCAAGGAGCACACTAACCTGCCACCATCTGCCACACTATGTTCAAGGAGCACGTGATGAAGCTGTTGGGGAATGTAGTTGGGCGTCCTTCGTATTTCCTGATGTCGTCCACCAGCTCCTTGGCCTCCAGCATGATGGCCTCCTCCAGGCGACTCTTGCCCATGCCTGTTCCAGATACGCATTATAGGTTCACTAATGGCCGGAGCCTCAGCATATGAAAGCTGCTACTTGCAAGCAATTATTTTGATGGAAATTTAGAATGCTGGATCTCTGCAACACTGGATCTACGTACATTCAACATGGGAAATAAGGTTTAGTTTTTATACATTTTTAAAATACCTCAAAATAACAGGAATACCCTTCATATTTGTCCAGTAGCATTTGCCTTTCAACGAGGTCCAGGACTCTAGGCGGGATTACGTTGACCATATTATGATCTTACATAACGAAGAACAAAGAAATTGTGTATAAAAAAGGCACCATTAAGTGGTAGGAGGCCAAACAACGGTAATAAAAACTACAGTCACTTCTTGCTTCTAATCATTGGTTTAGATTAGCATAAGTCGATTCTGTCGGACTCGCCACGCAGCTGCCCCCGCTGCCGATTAGCAAGCTTTAGCATAGTCCGGTTAGAGCTGCTACGGATTGTTGATAGCAAACCCACGAACTTTCTTTTAGGTTTTCGATGAATTTACATAATAACTGCGCGTCGTCATTTGTAGGTAAGTAGATACATGAACGAAGGAATATTATTTATATTTAAATAAATAAATATGAGAGCGATTGTCGCTGTGGCAGATTTAAGGTACCCTGGGGGAATGGGGGGAAGGGGGTACTACTCACCCAAATTACGGAGGCTGCGCAACACGAAGCGACGCTCGTGAGTCCACTGAGTGCCTTGACTCACAATGATACCTGAGTGATACAGTACAATAGAACAATGATACCTACACAATACAACACAATAAAGCAATGATACCTGCACAATACAAGACAAGACAATGATACGTGTACGATTTAACAATACTGTTGAGAGCTTTTAATAGAGATGCTTATCAATGAGAAAAATAGCTGACGGTTAGTCGGTTTTGCCAAACGCAAAGTAGAATAATAAATCCTAACTTTGTACCAGAGTATAGATGGCGCCTATAAATCGAGTTATGGCATTACAACAAAAATTTAATTACGTAAAAGTCCCGTCACTAACCTAGTATATTTGTTAGAGAAAGGAGAGGGGAGAACATGACGAAGAAATTAATAGAGTGATAACAGGAGAGTTCTCAGGGACAGACCAATTCATCCATCATGTAGAGCCAATTAAACATAAATGTTTGACCTGAGGCTGACAACTCAGTTTTATGACCGACGCACGATTCTCCGGTTTAGAATTAGTTTTTTAGCAAAAAAGTGTTTACTGTACTAATAAGTTCGTTTACTACTTGAATATACAACAACGTACGAATTATGAACTATAAAAAATATGCTATACGCAGACCGACAAAAGAAAAGTTTTCCTGCAATGATGGTCGATTGTGATGCATTTGCTGGATGAGAGTCGTCCAATGATATGAGAATACGACCCAGAAGTTATATCCATATATATTATTTATATCTAAATATCGGACGGTAGAATTTGTTTTTTTTAACAAGTTTGATTGAAGGTCAGAGAATGAGTTTCATCTATAATTTTCTTATTGGCTTTCTCGATAAGTCGAACTGTTTTTTTTTATAAATTGAGAATCTAGTTACCGAAAAACATTCTACATTACATCAGATTTCACGTACTGAAGTACTATGATGATGTAAGAGTACATTATATTTCATTTTAAGTTCAACTTTTTAATGCGTTATTAAGACTAGCACCGTGAAGTTACCTCCAGTCTTTTGATCGTCCAAAGTGATGTCCCTGAAGACGTCGGGTCTCCCTGCGAACTCGGCCCGCCCAAGCACCTCCTTGCAGGTCTTGAAGTCGAACAGCAGCACGCAGCGCAGCGACCCAGTGCGCATACTGCAGCACACACACGATGAGTGGCGCATGAGATAATGTATTATAGAACTTGCCTTGAAAAAAACATATGTTTGAGAAGTCTTCACCCACTATTTAGGATACTTATGCCAATAGAATTTGCGTCGATAAAACACTTGTTTGAGAAGTCTTGACTCATTATTTAGGATACTTAAGCCAATAGAACTTGCGTCGAAAAAACATATATTTGAGAAGTCTTGACTCATTATTTAGGATTCTTATGCTAATAGAATTTGAGTTGAAAAAACACATGCTTACAAAATCATAGCAGTACATTTTATTTTGAATACTTATGCTATTTATCCGAGATTTCTTGATGTTCAATCCTGCATGCATTCTGTAAGTTTTTGTAGAGGATAACGTTAAGTATTCAAGTTCAAAAGCGGTATAACGTTGGGATTTCGTCCGTTGAATTTTGCCATTGTATGTTAATTCTGATTTTCGAACTGAAAAAAACTTTCTCTCTATCGCTCTAGTTGTCCAGGATGCCAGCGTCGTCAATAACAATTATTCCATTTTATTACCAAGTTGTGTTTCGGTTTCAACATTTCATGTGATAGCTCAGCCCAAGTTAAAGACGCTGACTTTTCAAAACATAGCATTCTTAGCTGTACGTTAAACGTTCGTTTTATAATTAATACAATTCTATATCTTGCCTAAGCTACCACTATTCAGTAATGAAATATTTAATTGCGGACAGAAGCCACAGATTGCAGTATAAGTATAACACGTCACTCACGTCACGATATCGCCGTAAACACGTCACTCACGTCACGATGTCGCCGTAAACACGTCACTCACGTCACGATGTCGCCGTAAACACGTCACTCACGTCACGATGTCAACGATGTCGCCATAAACACGTCACTCACGTCACGATGTCGCCGTAAACACGTCACTCACGTCACGATGTCGCCGTAAACACGTCACTCACGTCACAATGTCGCCGTAAACACGTCACTCACGTCACAATGTCGCCGTATTTCTCTCGCAGTTTCTGAGCGTCAGTGCCGAGCAGCAAAGGTACGCGTCCGAGGAAGGGAACCTCCCAGGGACCTGCGCGAGAAAATGTCAACATTTTGATATATTACGACGATTTTTAGCATTAATTCATACAATCGGATTCACGAATGATATTTATTAATGTCTTGTTTTTATAATTTCATTTAAATTAACACTGAATCTTCAGGGTTTTCAGTGAAAAAAGAAAATACAATTTAGAGCAACGCTTTTGATGGCCCGTTGACGGCGCTTCCAAGAACTGCGGACTTTAAGATGAGATAATATAATATCGTAATTATCAATTCCAATAATAATACGGGAGAATTACAATAATATAGGATTAAAGACAAGCTGACCTGGAGGCATGTTAGCAGGCCGTCTGTCTCGTACGATTAAGAAGAGCAGCAGCAAGACGAGCGTCAGGATAATTTCCAGAAACATTTTTTGGACTCCGAGTGGCGGCAAATCTTCTTGAAATAATCGTGTTCAACAGAAGGGAAGTAATTCGTTAATTACCGCGTACAATAGCGTTCTGCAAGTAATACGAAGACGACAGCTGCACGAGTCAGCGTTCGGAAACCTAAATAAGAAGTTGATTAATATTATTTTACTACATATCGCAACAACCCTGGAATATGAGACATTATACACAAACTAATACAATTTAGACATATATTGAGAATTTATATATATATATATAGGTCAGATTAATTTATAACACATAGGATTGAAATAGCGACACATGAAACCATTAACTGTTTAGTTGTAGCAGGTTAAAAAGTTCAAAATAAATTCATCAATAAACGATGGTTCAAAAGCGCAGTTTTTTTCCGAGTACATCTTGACTGAGACGCATTTAGAATGAAATTTGTGCTCTAAAATGTTGGTCGTTTCAGTTGTTGATACAAACGACACCAGACATACATATGTTTATGAGCAAGTTGCCTCTGTGTTACAGTTCAGAGTGGCAGATGGGAGCAGTGGGTTGAGGGGTTCGATCCCAGCTTGCTGTGAAAGTTCTGGTCAATCGGCAAGGTAGTCGGGTGGTAGAGAATAGCAAGATTGAAGCAGTTAGTTGTAGGCTCGATACCCTAGCAATCTGTAAAAATTATGCGATGTCTAGAATCGGCGGCAGGTCAGATATGGGGTATTCAACCCTGACACACTATTTTTAGTTATTTAATGGAAGTAACAATCCTACAAATCCCGACCGACTGGTTCGATAACCACATGATGACCACGAAACTGTTTTAATAATAGCGGTTTCAGAGTTTAGTAGGCCGTCGGCCTGTCGCTGATTCTTAACATCGCAGAACATTCACAGTATTTTGCGGTCTCGAACTCGCAACTCACTATACTACAATTCTGCAGTGCTTAACCGCCCGGCCACCTCTCAGATTCTGACCAGAAACTGGCGCACAGAGCTGGAATGGGACCCGCGCCTCTCTGCTCCAATCTTAACTGTAACCACTGGGCCACTCTGCAAGATCGCGCTAGGAAGATATCATCACTTTTATTTATAAGACAGATCGTTTGAAATTGATAACCGGTATAAAACCATATGCCCTATGGGCACAAGTCGAAAATGCGTGTCCTTCTGAGTTCTGACTGGATACTACAAGAGGGTTAAGTGTTGTGGCCAAGCAACAGGCACTTTACGGCAGATGACATGCAATTTTATTTAGAACTCTGAATGTTTTTCGCCTGTGAGTTGGACGAGCGCGAACTTCACCTCCTTAATAATCCAGTATATAGGTAGAAGAGTGCAATTCTCTACTTATCTTTGAAGGTTCATGAAATTATGAACTCTTTTAAGAAAAAAAATCTCAAGTAAATCATCTCTGTTTGGCCACAAATTTTACTTTTGTATGACGTTGGTGCGTCTACAATACTACATACATGAAGCGCGCTTAGGACGAGACAGGCATCAGCTTATTGAATCCAACTCTTGGAATCTAAAACTACTAACGCACGTTAATACACAATTCTGAACGACACTATAATAAATTCGCAATCTGGTGAATGTTGTGTCGGTTTTAGAAACGAAAAATACCATCTCATGTTCTGCGTAAGAAACACTAAGTGCAGGCTTCGCACATACGAAACCAACCACAATCACACCCAATTGATAATGTCAACTTCGAGGAAGATAAACCTCTCAACGTTGGTTACATGGGACCGTTCCAAGTCTGCTCTATAATAAACAATCATATAGAGACCAAATTGTTACACAATGGACTTATCGGCAAGACTGGTGCTACATATGAACGTCAGAAGCATAACAAGGGCCACATATTTCATTATCGGACTCATTGCTGCACATATGCAAGGGTTTTTAAGCGCCACTATGTCGCACACGACCAACCTCAACAGAGGAGACCGAGCAACTGTTGACAGTTGACACAGAGCTCAGTGCGGCTGAGAGCGATTTTACCCAGTACCCACTACTGATGGTCCAAAACTAGCCACATTGCTTACATCTGACCTACCCCCGTAAGTCGAAACTTTGATAGAAGTTGAACAGCGATCAGACTGTGAAATGAATAACAAAACCCGTTGATACTAATATATTAACTATTCATATTAAAAGAGAGATCGCAGCTGAAAAGTTAACGGAACAGAACGTGTGAAATGTGCATTTTTAGTGCATTTTCTCATTTATGAAAAAATGCACTTTTGTGCTCGCCATGTCCGTCTGTCTGTCCGTCCGTGATTTCATGTTTTCGTCGACGAGAAAATGCGCTCTCTTGTCACTCACTGCAGGGAGTACTGACTTATATTTTTTATAATAAACTTTGGTGGAGTTAGATATTCAGACTAATGAGGTCTGCTGATGGGCCCAACTTTGCAATAATTTTATATTAATATAATATAAATTATTAATATTTTCACACATGTAATGTCGAAATGCGGGAGGAAAAGTCAAACAACGAAGTTGTCATTACTTAAAGTTTAATCAGATTATGACTCATACTAAAATATACTTAGGCAATCCGTCAATATCGTGTAGACAAAAATCTTGCTTGGAAGCTCATTCTACGAATCGCCACGGAGCACAAAACGTGAGAGTGGAAAACAGTTTGCTCATTGGCTTCAGCACGAATATTAATTCAATGTAGTAAGCTTATGACTCGGTACAACATTAAAAGATAGAGCAATTCTATCAAAAATTTGTCATGAATTCAATCATTAGATATGGTAAAGCGGCTGGCAGCCGAGCATATATAATGCTGATGAGACGCACATACTGCTAGACCCTTTGCTTACAAACTTCAAGGCTGAGCGGAACACACGTATGCAGTTGGTTGGGGGTGTAAACATTTCTGGCGTACGGCATGGGTGGAGGTCATAATGTTTGAATTATTTCATTAAATTTTTGGACGAGATCTCATTGCGCTGGTTTGGGTGGAAGTTATTTTATAGTTATGACTATTCCAGTCATAAAAATGAGACACAGCGATGAGCGTCTGCAGAAAAATAGCTCATGATTTTGTGAGCTCAAGACCGGAAACATTTCAGGATACAACCTTGAGTCAAGCAGCAGTATGAACCAGATTATCATGACGATAAGATATATACAAATAAATACTATCCTTAAAAACGAAGAGCTTGCATTGATCAGCCATCACAGGACTAATGAATAGTCAGGATTAGTCTCCTCTTAATGCTAAATTATGAGCCATGAAGTAAGTCAGGTTCGTTCAGAAAATGTTATTTTTAGGCACACAAAATACTACATTAAAACCAATACCATTGAACCATCATGGTTGGATGCGGTTATTAACAGCCAATGTCATCCGCAATGAGGTCATTTGCATCCGAAGTAGAGCAAAGGATTAGCAAAAGAAGGACAAAATTTCTTGGTAATTGTCATGCTCGTAAGCCAACACACACGAGACGGAAAGCTCAAGCAACTTTTTTTACGGAATTTAAGTCATTTTGTCAGGTCATTAAGAGTTTACATTTCTAATTCATTTTAAGCATTTATAAAAAAAATCATTCAAGTATTAATTGTTCCTCTGTATTTTCTACTTGTATTAAAGAAAGAAATACGCGTACGAGAACATAATACCATAAATGCACATGGAACTTATTATCGACTGAATTATTTTAACTAGGGTACAAGGCACTCAGAAGCCTAAGGCTCGACCGGCGACGAGGCCGCCGTTCTCGATGAGGTCGTTGCTGATGGACGTCATGGCGTCGAAGTCGCTTTTGGTGCTGCCTGAGCGCGAGCCCTTGATGTGGTAGCGGGCCCGAGAGCACGCCTGTGACCAACACAACAATGGATATTTTGTTAATACGAAAAAAAACTGCATTGATGTTAATACTTCATACTTGCAAGCGAATTGTTGGCATGAAGAGCACTTAAGGTACAACTTACGAAAAAAAGTAACAAGCCAGTTTGGTGATGCAGCGGCGACATTTCGGCTCAATTCAAATGCAATTAGGTTTTATATTCATGCTTACTCGAGGCTTTTGAATGCTGTGCCACAATTTACTTCTACATTGCATAGAGCATAAACAAGTCCTCATAGAACTCGTGGCTTCACACATGACAGCGCCTGAGGTGCTCTCACCAAAAGATATTTTAACCACTGATTTAATTTCACTTGGCTCAGAATCAAAATTCGCAAAAGATTCTCTACTTGTGTTATGAATTCATGCGGTACTTGAATATCATGTTATCGCCTTTACCTCATTGACCCAAACAGTGGCGAGTTTTTTCTCGTGTTGGGCAGAAGGAAGGTCGAGCTCGAGGCTCCTGGTGGCGCGACTAAGGACGGCGGCGCAGCAGTAGAGGTCGATGGCTGCGTTAGCGATACGGTTCAGTTGGAACTGTTGATCAACGACGTTGTTGCCGTACTTGATCAATAGAGACTCGCATGCCGAGCCGAACTCCTCAACCGTCTACAAGAAAAAAGATTGTTATCTTAAACATAAACTAACGAATCAGAAGCCAATCTCACAAGTATCATTCTAAAACGAGTGGAATATTTATCTTCGTAAGAATACTAGTCGAAATTTAAACAGTTCGCGAGCAATTTGCTGCATGATGGCTTAACAAGTATTAGTAAATATGTACTTGGTAAACCATCGAGCACCAAAAGCCTCTACGGGTTCTAGCCATTCAGAGCAGCAGGAAATTGAGAACGGAGGAACCGCTAGACAAATGAGTGAAAAATACCTGGTTGTGCTAACAAGTGAAATCTGAAACAACCGAGAAATATAGTATTAAAACTTCAAGTTAACCCAATGTATACGGATTTATAAACCATCCATAATTTTATTCTTAAGAAGAGGCCAGGGAACTAAAGTTTGTGTCAGTAGACGAAGGGCCAGTAGAAGGGACACCTAAGAATGGCTTTGTGAAAGGTTACGCTTCAAGCTTAGTTAGCTTCCTTAGTGTCTATTTCAGAGTTCACGAACGTCGAATTGAAGGCACAATGTTGAGGAACAGCCAAGAGCCTCGACTACGTCCAAGTCCCGACATGCATATACGAACCAGAAAAGACGGGGAATAATCACATTAACGACGTTTGAGACCTGGTCCTTGGGAATAATCCCTTTAGCGACGTTTTGGGCCTAGCCCTTGGGGAATAATCACAGCGACGACGAGGACCCGGCCCTTGGGGAATACTCACCTTAGCAACACCGAGGGCCTGGCCTTTGGGGAATAATCACCTTAGCAACGTCAAGGGCCTGGTCCTTGAGGCTGAGGAAGACGTCAGGCAGGGGTCCACTGTGGCTGAGACCCATGGCCCGGATGGCCCGCTTGCTGCCCTCGTCCAGGATCACGCCCAGGTTCGCCGTCGGGTTCTTGATCGCCGTCTGAATGGCGCGCAGGTGACCCCCGGCGTACTGAAGACCTGCAATGTCAATAATTTTTACCTAACAAATAATAAGGACGCAGAATAAAAAAATAAAAAAAATAAAGTATAAATAATCTTAGAGATGCCAATAACGAAGCACAAAAGACCTCGAGTCTAATACAGTTCGTGTAGTCTCTATGTTATACTTTTGTTTTGTACCATAAATTACCATCACGGAAAAGAGTTGTGATACTACAAGCATATTGTCGAATCGAGTTACTTGCGTACCCGACACTCATCTCGACCACGCACTTACCAGTAAGGGCGACAAAGAGGCGCAGGATGTCGTTGGTGCCCTCGAAGATGCGGAAGATGCGCAGGTCGCGTACGACGCGCTCCAGCCCTGATTCCTTCATGAAGCCCATGCCGCCCATCACTTGGATGGCTTCGTCTGTCACCCACCATGCCGCCTCACTACCGAACACCTGCACGCAAGTTAACCTTTGTCAATGCAACCAATGATCAATATTGCACTTGGTTACTCAACACGTTGACTACGATTGCTTCATCTTGAACAATTATTTCATTTTTTGTACTTTTTTTAAGCAGGGTTGCCAATTTATGATAGGGGTACTTCCTAATTAAATTTTTAAATACTGCAAAAAGAAAATAAATGGAATTTTATAGCGGAACCTACAAACCTCATGCAGTGGTGGTAGAGCTCTTCGTGGCATCAAACTTACGCAGTGATGATTGTGCACTACACGGCATCAAACTCACGCAGTGATGCCTGATATAAGCGATATTGAAATCCATCACACAGCAAAACAGCCATATCGCTAAGTCACTGAAAGTGCCGCTCGTTGTTGAATTATGAGCTCATAGTTGAAATCACAGTCGTGAAATGGTTAGAAGTCCTGGTAGCCTGAATAAAGCGTAAGTAATTCAGACTTTAGATCATATTTTAATATCTTATTATAGTTGTGAAAAAGAGCCAACTGCTATTTTAAGCAATTATGGGCAGAATGTGACTTGATGGAAAAGTTTTAGTTGCAAACCGTGAGCGCGAGTTTGTTTATAGTTCGGAATGGCCGAGGGTATCAAAAGGGCTGACCCTTGAGGAACTCGAAACTGTCGCGTCGTCCCTTGCTAGGCTCTTATGTGCGCAACGTCTGCCTATATTAGGACCCTAAAATTCACGCTAAGGGGTTGTTCTATTGTGAGGACCGTCAAGCCAGTACGGTCTGCAGCCATCGCCGACGTGAGTGACGGCTCTGAACGTCGGCCGACAGATCAAGAAATAATGGCGCGGCGAAACTTCGAGTCACACATGTCACTACGACTCCGATATAACCACGTCAAAAATCTACGAGTAACGGCCATGATTTCGCCACATTTGTAAGGTCAACATCATTACTACGTCTGTGACTTGGCCGTGAGATGACACGAGAGACAACAAGACGTCCAACGATTATAATGCCGGCAATCAGGAGATTCAAGCTTTCGTATGACTTGAATGTGCTTGTTTAATATTATATGTACCAGTGTTTCATTACAACACTCTCTGCACGATTTTTGCCGTAACCTATTTCATACGAAAACTTATACACGCGAAACTTATATACCGAGTAAAGACTAAAACGCTACGGACGCAACCAGAATAAATTAAAGCAATTGACGATCAATGAATAATAAAATCATAACAATGAAACCTATTTTCAATTGTTTTGAATTTCCATAAGCTAATCAAACCTTAGGCCAGTAGGTAGCCCTGGTAGAGCCGATCGTCATGCCATCAAACTGGGTAGTTCTGGTAGCTTGCGTAATTTTATTAATCTACTGGTATTCTGTAACCGCAGTTATAGGTGATGAAGTTACCTTGGAGATGGCGGCCTCGAGGTGATATTCCTTAGAGCCGCTATCCATGTTCGAGGAGATCATGAAGGCGAGTGACTCTGTGACGTATTGCAGCATCGCCATACGCGCCAACTTCTCCTGTTATGGGATCAACAGGTTCTTAGATACTATGTACAAGATCATAGTAAAAGACTATGTACAAGATACAAGATCATTGAAAAAGACTGTAAAGAAGATGATTATAACAGACTATGAACGTATGAAGAGCATTGTAAAAGACTATGAAGATCATGGTAAAAGACTATGAAGAATACCATAGAATTTACAGTAAAGAACTGCACTAATAATGCAGCACTGCATGGACCGGCAGCTGTTATGCTGCACAGTATGGAGCTGCAGCTGTTGTATCAGATAACGCTATAATCGTTGTACTGTTTACAACTATTGGGCAGACCCCACGAAAATATAACTCTATCTTCATATTTTATTGCAATTAAATCAGAGCCCTAGCTATAATTGCAATAAAATAAACTCAAATGAAGGAATATTAAGGAGAAAAAATTAATTTCTCAGTGAGTGTCAACTTGATGAATGCCATCACAACAACTCGCCTGGATGGCGCCAAACTCGTGAATCTTGCGGCCGAATTGATTTCGGTTCGCGGCGAACTCAACAGCTTTGCTGATGGACGATCTCATGGTGCCCGACATGGCCGCCGCCATACCAAACCGTCCGTTGTTCAAGATTTCCATCGCAATCTGAAACATTGGTAATACCGTAAAAAATTTATTGTTAAAAATGTGCACTCAAAAACCCAAGCATGGCCCAATTTTGATACAAGGCAGGGCAGTAAAATATTTCCTTAATACTAAAACTAGAAAATGTTTCAGCAAGATTAAAAATGTTAATTCACTCGGCCTGTCTTGAAGATTGCGAAAGCGATTGCGTCTCTTCAGCAGTCTTTTGCTTTTCAGGAGTTTAGTTGGATTTTGTTGATGATGTAATGCGAGATAAAATTTCGAGTTGCTTATCAGGCTTTGAATCAACATGCACAGTTGCTATCATGTAAGCCTGAGACGTGTACTGTACGAAATATTACCGCGCAGGCGCTAGTGAAGGGCGCGTTCAAGTCTCGATTATTTTTGCTGCATGAGCAGTTAAACGCGCAACAACTTAGTCGGAAATAAACGCAGACAACGGCTAATTTCCAACTGAACTGTGCAACAAATATCTGAATATTAGTCAGAGCTATCATGAGCTGGTGGTAGTGAATTGAAAAAATGTCATAGTTCATACGCCTAGTGGTCGTAGTGTACTATATAAGCTCTGCGTAAAACACACTCATGTTACCTAATGATAACGCAATTACCTTGAAACCTTTGCCCACTTCGCCAAGCACATTTTCGGCAGGTATTTTAACGTTGTCGAAGTAGACTTCGGTCGTGTTGGAGGCCTTGATGCCCATCTTCTTCTCTGGCGCGCCGTTTGTCACGCCACCAAACGAACGCTCAACGATGAAAGCCGTCACTTTGTCCACCATCTCTCCTGGGCGCGACAAAAAAGTTATTTTTAGGTAAATTATCCCAATGTAAGTTCACCAATAAATTAACAGAAGAACGAGCTGTTTTAGCCACAACTTAGTGACGATAAATTTTCTATACCCACGATTTGTGTCATGAAGACGCAACATATACACATTACCATTTAGTTTGCCTTTAGATCATAATAAACACACCTCATTATTAAATGATAAAAATTTCAGTAATCCTTTATCACGAAAATGAATGAATGTGCAATTGAAGCTTATTCATTCGGAAACTATTTCTTAAACAATTCGGCAACATTCTAACAAAAACTTGGGAAGGGCAAATCAAAAATTTTGTTCCCTAAACACCTATTCCGCAGATGCGCTAAAAATCAATTACCTGTTCGCTCGTCTTTCACTGGCGTTTGAGCGAAGACTGTAAAAACTTCGGCTATTCCTCCATTGCTGATCCAGATCTTAGAACCGTTCAGGATCCAGTGAGAGCCGTCGTCGGAGGGCACGGCACGAGACCTGATGGAGTTGGCATCAGAGCCACTGGAGGGCTCGGTGAGGGCAAAGGCTGCCATGTGCTCTCCTGACGCCACTTTGGGCAGGTACTTCTCTTTCTGCTCCTTGTTACCCGCGATCAAAATGCCCTGAACGAAACGGGGGCAATTCAGGAGGAGTACTGTACATTAGCAAGAGCACATATCATTTTAGATCTAAATATCTTAGATTATATTTTACTTTAGAATTTAACTGATATATTGGAACTGAACAACTTAGTAGGTTCGATCGGTATTGCATATATAAACCCCCCATTCAATTCCACCACGTTGCACGAATAGGGAATTGTTTGGGTTGGGCAACTCGTGCGCTGGTACGGGCCTAGGAACAATGGCGACATTTTGCGAAACACACGGCGAATATATTCGTAAATCGCCCTTAAACTTTTTGAATCACATCGGCAAAAATTATATTTTATGTATTTGTAATCTCTAAATTCAGAGACCAAATTTGTTCAGAGATTGGAATCAAGTTGGCTATGGAAATTACTGAAGCACGGGAATGGGACTATAGAAGAATATTATAGAGGAGAAGCAAGTATCGGAACGTGAAGAGAAAACTGCTGTGATGAAGTGGAATATCATAGTAGGAGAACAGGTCTTGGAAGATGAGAATATTTTCAAAACTCTCCAAAAATGTCATGGATTTCACAGGGCATGGACAGAAAATACCACTGAAAGACTTCTTTGTTGCCCAGTTGGGCTTCAACCAACAGAATCTCAATGCTATGCCTGTGATGGTCAATGCAGACATTGAAACGTTTGTAACCAAAAGATTGAGTGCAGAAATATATTTCCATAGATTATCTACAGCTTGATAAACTATCAGCGTATCATGAGAAACAAATGGCTCCCGGACAATGAGAGCAAGAGTCCAATATGAGTGATTCGAGGTGCAATCAGCCAGAGATGAATAATTGGTAATATTGAGTTAGAAGGAGATTAGCTATATCCACTTAAAACATTACTTAGAACGAGAAAATGAAGTTTGTCATCAGAACCGATATAACTTTACCACCTACCCCGAATATATTTCGATTTTACCACCTACCCCGAATATATTTCGATTTTACCACCTACCCCGAATATATTTAATAAATTTACATGACAGGACACCCACTTCATGGTGAAAAGCACCCACCTTGAAGCCGATGCTCTGGTGGGCGCCCAACGTGATGCCCACCCCGAGGTCGTGGGCACCCACGATCTCCACGAGCCTGGCGTACATTGTGTTGTTGCAGCCCACTCCTCCCAGCTCTGTCGGCACCTGTACATTTTCACATTATATTTATCACAAAACTTTCAATCCAGAACCGGTTTAGAAATTACTTTCTTTTCATTGAAATCTGGTCCGTAAACGAATGCACAATTCATAGTTATTGACTAAATTTAAAGCTGCAATTTACTATACTGACAACAATATAGCACTACAGCACATATACACCATAGCGCAACAACACAAAACAGAAAAAAAAACATGAAAAAAACCATGAAAATAACTCATGACATTCATTAAAGCAATGTTGCAATTAAAGTCAAAAACCGCCAGAAAATACCTCAAGTCCCTCATTCCGACTAACGAGCATTGTTAATATAGAACGCAAATTACAAACAGAATGGCGATATGGTTTGAACACCACGAGAGCAGCCCACCTGTAGACCGAAGGCCCCCTGCTCCCTCAGCCCTTGCATGGTCTTCTCGTCAACGCGTTCCAGCTCATCGTTCCGGGCTGCGTCATTGCATTCCTGTGAAACAACACGCACTTAACACACATTTTCAGCATCACTCGTCACGCCGCTCGTCTTGCAGCGGCAAGACTCGAGCATCACACGACTATTAATGAACGTTTATTTCTATTTGATAATTTAACCGTCATTCGTCACAAAATGAATTACAATTAACATATTGTCTAACATTCACAGAAGGTATACAGTATAATGACCGAGTGGTGTGGTGCATATATACGAGTGTTCAGGAATGACTATCCTAGAATTGAAGTAAGCGTGGCTACCATGCACATTGCACGATCCTGCTTGTACAGTAAGTTAGTAAATATAAGTCTAATTTCTAGAAGTCAAATAAATAGCATCTCATCAAATAAATTACACATACTTTGTAAAAAAGTAAACGCTCACGAATTATTTATTACGAATATTCCTCTATAACGCCGGCCAGTTCTAATAATGAAGAAGCTGGTCTACGCAAACGTTGTGGTCATCGCTATGAGCATAGCAGTGCCAAAGGTCGCAGGGAACACAGCAGTAAATAGGAAACAATATATTTTTATTAATATCATATCTTCGGCTGATTTGATGAAATAATTAATGTATATCTAATGTTTATACCTAAATTAAGCTTCAGGTGATAGAAAGAAAATTAATTGAAAAACCCTATCAATTGGATTAGTATTACAGAGAAAATACCAACATAGGCCATATAGGCCTGTTGAAGTTCAACGTTTTCTCCGTGCTTGGCTCCTTCTATGTCTTCCTCTATGAGACTCGAAGGAAATTTTTCCCACCCTTAATAATTTTTGTCGTCGTTTTTTTAATTTTTATCAACTAGATTTCGTTTGTTTTGTATGTTGTATTCATGCTTCGTAGTTTAAGTAGGTAGCAGTTCCGCCAGGGTAAGGATTGACGTACCGGCCATCATTCGATCCATTCGTCCGATATTGGCTCAGCTTTCATAAACGTAACAATCATGCCATAAATAATGACAAGGCACTCTCGCTCTAGGGTTGAATATCTTTTCTCTGCACACACTAGTTTCCTGCTCGCATAAGACACGGGGTGAGGCACGTCATCGTAGTGGTGGAGCAGTACCGCGCCAACACATCCGTAGAACCAACTTCCGATTAACATCAGGTAGTTTCAAGATGGGATCGTTGCATAGGACCGTTTTTAGTTTCGTGAAATTGGCCAGCAACTCTGGCGTCCAGCAGATAGGTTCCCGCACGTACTTTTTCAGTTGATCGGATACCTTGACGCAGTGAACGACGAAACATTTGTATGAATTTACGACGAATTGAAATCAACCCCAGAAAGAAGCGAAGCAACTTTTTCGTCTTAGGAGGATTTATCCCCACTATTACACTCACTTTGTCTTCTTGCAGTCTAATCATACCTTAGCCAACAATAAACCCAAGGTAACTGATGGATGCGAATCCAAATTTGCACTTATATAGATGGTCGTGCCTTCAGATGTTAGACGTAACCTGGCGAAAACATTGCGCAAGGCGCACATGTGTCTTTCCCAAGTGTCGGCGTACACGTAGATATTATCAAAGTAGAAGCTAGAAGGATACATTTTCAAGGCCCTGTAGGACGATTCTCATTAACCGTGCATACCTAGAAGAAGCATTGACCAAGCCAAATGGAAGGCACACTAATTCCATTAATCCTCGACGCGTTGGAAATGCGGTCAAATGTCGCGACCTATCCGTGAGTGGGATCTGGTAATAGGCTCACGTCAAGGCAGCTCAAAAAAGTACTTTGCGAAATTGCCCCTGCAAACTGGTGCAGGTCTTTTTTCCAAAGGGCTCAGCGGTTCAGCTTGAAAGACGGTAATACTGTTCAACATTCAATAATCTACGATCATTCTATAACTTTGATCGGGTTTACGAACCATAATAATAGTTGAGCAGTAGGTCGAGGCAGATCGTTAAATTATTTTCATCTCCAGTAGGTTATATGCCTTCTTATCGAATGCGGCTTCAAATGGACAAGCACAGGACAGAATCTGGTCCGTTTGGGCACAGAGGTTTTGAACTCTGTCTTATTCTGGAGTTTCTGTACATCCCGGCACAGGAGATTCAAGGGCATCGTCGTATTCCTCGATCAACGTAGGGACGTCACGTATCTGCTCGGGAAAAAAATCCTCACAGATAGTAGCGCGTTCCATCGAGTTTACTTCGAGCGTCGTGAGAGCATCAAGGAATAGCACTTTGTCACCATCGGTTATCTTTCATCGATGTGACAAGCCTGACAAACAAAGAAAAGGTCAGCCTATGTGAGAGCTTGAATTCCTGTCTCGTCGACAACGTCTCTCTTCAGGAGGTTGTCATGGTATTGTCGCAGCGACCTGTCTTAATCAATGACGTAGTCAACCCTACTTTTCTCCTAAACTTAGAATGACCCCTTCCATGACATCGGAAGTTTTTTTTACTGGAACCGGGGAGGGAAACGAGAACTTCATTCCCCACCGCAAATGAACGATCTTGCGATTTGAGAACAAGATACGTTTTATACTTACTTACGCTTATGTCGGCATTCTCCGGGGCAAGTTTAGAGCATTCCCGTATCTTACCCTGCAGGTCAATAGCATACTGGGAGAGGGTTCTCACTTCGCCCTTGAGGTTGCCAGCTTGCCAAAGGTCCCGAAGAACTGCCAGAGGGCCTCTAACTTGCCGACCATACTAGAGCTGGAACGCAGAAGCCGGATCGGTCGCTTGGTATTTCAAGCTAAACAAACAAGGTCGGGATCAGACATCGATTCCAGTCTCGCGGTTTGCCGGAACTATGTCATCTCTTATAGTTACTCTGACTCCAATTTCGGCTAATGATCTGATCTTATCTAAGCTAGGAAAAACTGTTGTACCTTGCGGAAGCGTTTGTGATCTACTTTGAGGGAATCAAGTTTGGGTACAATAAGTGGGTGCAAGGATTTGGCGTTAGCGGAGGATCACGTCACCACAGCCTGCACAGAAGACAAATCTTCTGTGAGCGTACAATGCTCGGTGAGCGACTCAAGTCAAAGTCATCCGGGTAATTATCATCCATGACTCGTGGGGCATTATTCATCAACACAGAACTGCTTTTAACTGGAGCAAGAATAGATTCGGTCCAACCGCAAAAGTTTTTACATCGAATGTAATTTCTAACTACAGGAAAACAAGTTAGACCGTCCTAAATAATCAAATAATTCAACAGTCGCCCGCTTTGAACCATCAATATCCGGAAGGAGGAAGGACACAGTAATGGCAAAGCAAGCAGTATCACGCAAAATGCTTGACACTGGCAATCCATTGATAGTCCCACAGCACAGATATTTACGAGACCGAGACCGGATCGCTCAAACAAAATTGAACAGAGGGTGACGTCGGGCTGGGCCAGGCGAAAAACAAGGCCCCGAAATTTTTCGGGCCCTGGCATTTTTTCGAGCCCAAATTTTTGGGACATTTTCGCCTCACATGACCCGAATCACCACAAGAAAAATAGCGCTTGGGCATATCTGGTCTCTTGTCTAATTTGCGTGAAGGATTTCGAGCTGCAGCCGCTGAGACGGAGCCTCGTTTCCCTTGGTATCAGCCTGGTACTTGGGATTATGGCTATCCTTAGGACAAGCTTTGTGGGCTGCGGTCCAGTTATCAGCTAGGGTCACATGTCGCCGAGCTGTTTACAATCTTTTTCTTTAATAAACAATTGCAATGGTGGAGGGAGAGAACTTAGAAACTGGTCAATGATGAAAAACTCACGCAAACTCGCATAGTTTTTGAGCATCCCGAGGCATTCTAACAAATAATCTAACCTACGGTTGAGCTGAGTTGCAAACTGAAGACAAGTCTTACAGAAACCAATACGCGCAAGGCGAAATTTTTGGCGGCAAGTCTCGTGGGTTTTATTGAAATCACTGAGTAAGGCTTTCTTAAGAGAATCATAATCGCTGGGAACACCAGAAAATATGGCAGCATAAATTTGTACCGCTTTGCCCGTCAACAACGTTCCCAATTGCAATGCATAACTACAGTGATTCAGCTGTAGCAGCTCTGCAATGCGCTCAAAGCGTATAATGTAAGACGTTATCTCTTCGTCGTCGCGGTACAAGGGCAGTTTAGGTTTGGCAGCGGCATCAGATAACAACTGAACATATAGAATCGCGAGGGTTCCTCAACTCTAACATCCTAACCTGGTTCTCACTTCTCACGTCGCTCGCGCTCTGCAGCCAAACCTCCTTTCTCTTGTGCAGCAGCTAAATCTGCATTGGGCGACGCCCTTTCAGCTATCCGTGTCTCGATAAAAGCTTTGCTGCTTTTAAATGAAATTTGTAATTGCTTCCCCTTGCAAACCCAACTGTATTGCTTCGGAGCGCAATCCAGCTATAGTCGGTATCGACGCCATTAAATCTTTATAATCGAAATACGGCACAATATGAAGTTGGTAAAAAAAAATCAGCGACGATACAAATGTTTGCCTAAATACAGTTCTCAAGTTTCAAGACAGAAAAAATACCCCTATCTGATTACAGCTACCATTAGACAAATCTTTCAACAGCGAAAGTTACTGTTAGAAAACTCGCAATTAACCGATCAACACTAGAAATTGCAAATCCTAACAAATCCAAATGGAACAACTCCCCGGACTACCTCGGAGTCTCTCTCTCTCTGTACGCGAGAAAAAAAAAAACAATTCCGACCGCTAGTCAGGCTGACTACGTAGTCTTGATCAGCTTATGATGTTGCATCAAGCCATCATCATTCATCGACACAAATGTCCGCCGGTAATATCACCTGGCCCTACGGTAGATATTCCTGAACAGAACTCGAACTACCCAATTAAGGATGACAACACACAAATACGGTTGTAACTGATGTACAGCAGCAATTCTTTCACCACCAATCTGATAAGCTTTTCAAATTAGGCGATTCTCTTAAGGACTCGTCACAGTTGTGAAAATGCTAAGGCGAGATGAAAGAAACGCCAAGCTGACGGCACGTTAGCGTTCCGTGTACCTCGTCACGAGAACTATGCACCAGGCTATTTCAAAGAGGTTCTTGCAATCTTTTATGATGATACACACAAAATAGATAAGTACAACGGGGATTGGGAACGCGAATTGCAAGCCCAATACAATCTCCTCAAATAAAAAATGTCATTATCTTAATTAAAGAATTGAGAGCTGCTCGCTATATTAATCCAACAGACCCTGAATGCGTTTGTTCCTACAATGTCGTCTATTTGCTACTGTTCGCTCTATGGTAAACGTGCAATTGAGCGATTTATGAAGCATATTTGGTCAAGTATGCTGCCGGTGCCGACGAGAAGTGCCAAGCGTATTAATGAATGACTATTCTAATGACATTGAAGTGACGGTGCAAGGTCTGCACCACGAAAAGATCTCGGGTGCCAGGATTATCCACGAGGAAAAAAACAAGCGGGACGGAATTCATGAATCGCTAGCTCGTGAAATCTCACGGAAACGATATGGTTTTTACTCGGTCTCCCCTATGTTTGCTCGAACGTGCATTTGACAAATTTTTCACTTTTGCAACTGAGCATAGATGGGCCGTTGTAAAAACTTCTCGCAGGAACAGTAAATAAAATTAGGGCCTGACAATGCATTTTTGTCACTGAGAGCGAATTTGCCTGCATGGAGACGTTTCAAAGTCTCAGTTGCTTCAAATGTGCGAATATCATTTGTCCAAGTTGCAGGCAGATTAAACTGTAGGATTTTCACTCAGGCCGCCTGAATTGCGTTGCATCCGTTCGCCTTTTAACAATATTCAGTGGTTTACAGGCGCACCCGTTCGCAAATATCAGGCTACGGTGGACTTACTCGCCTGTCCCTGGATTGATGACAATTGCCGCAAATTAAGGTGCATGTACGTTACCTTACCGAGGTTACAACGTACTTGCGAAGAAAGCTTCTCTTAGCCAGGAACATCTGGCATCTCTGAAATGCTTATTAATCTGTTCGAGATGTTGTCGTTGGAACTCCGTGGCAATGCTCAAAAATCGGCCGTTTTTAATGCTTATGTAGATTCGACATGCACTGCAGACGTTGACGTAGTTCTAACTGCTGCTAAGCCTAAATGCTTCACGAGTTTCTGGTTTCTCTAAATTCCTGATATGAGAAGTCTTATCAGGAATTTAAAAGCAAAGAAAATAGCCAAAAAGTTCACCATTTTTTAGGAGAAAACGTTTCGGAACCTAGCTCCATCGTCAGTTGAAAACCTAGAACACAGGTACAAACAATTAGTAACCTAAAATTCACATTCAAACAATTCATCTAAACTTTAGGAACACTAGAACCAAAATCGAAAATAAAGTATTCTGCACTCTCTTCAAAAAGCTGGTTTAACTGAGGATGCTGACCGAACTGAGGACGGAGCAAACCAAATACTGAAGAAATTGGTAATGCAGGACTGCGAGTTTTTCCGTTGGGCGCTAAAGCTTAAAGCAATTGATTTCTAAAGCTGGCCACCGATGGTATGCGCGGGGCGCAGCCGTAGGGCACAAATTTTACTCTTAAATGAGCCCTGGAGCCAACACCTAGCTTCAACGTGCATTAACTTAGCCTCAGAACTAGAAGCCGCAGACTACGCTCGAACTTCGTAATCCTGACAAGCGACACACTGCCGAAAGATAATAGCGCCGTAGGTCTTCAGCCAATGCTGAAGCATGCTCGCTCATAAGCAGTCAGTTCCCCATCCGGCTGTACCTACTCCGGCCTAACCTATTCACGCTGCCCCGGCTCCCAACCCTCTTGCAGCCAATGACTGGCTCTACCAGCACACTTGTACCGCCTTTCTAGCTTCTTGCAGCCAATGAGGTTGCAGTTTCCACCGCTCAGTTTTGTTTTGGGTGGAGAAAGGTTGAAGCTCGTATAGTTTAGGCCTGAAGAGGTTAGGCCAGAGGAGGTTTGGCCAGATGCAGTATGGCCATGTTTACCTTTGGCAAGCTTATTTTGAGGCTGTGGACATCTGGCACTATGGCTTTGAGCACTTGACTTCATAGGCCGTTATGCACTCTAGCGTTCTTACCTTATGGAAAGGAATGTGAACTAAGTTTGAAATTTGGCAAAGCTGGCCTCCGGCATGCGCCCCGTCTGCACAACTATTTTAGGACTCAATGCACAGAGTATTCTGATGTGAAATTGGCCAGTCTTCTTGATATAAGACGAACGCTGAAAACAAAGTGGAGAAGCTAGAAAAAAGAATCGCTCTAAACGTTCAGAGGTGCTTGGCGGTGAACACTTGCACCTCTTTTTCTAACTTCCTGAATCCAAGAGCAAACTGCAGAGCAGTAGCTTCATAACTCACTAAGCTCAGAATAACCTTGGCAGTTTGATTAAAAATCCTTTTGGGTTGGCTCACCTTAAAAAGATCGAGATATTAATCATTGAAATACTAATTAGACTTCTTCTGGCTTATCTTTTAAATCTTTTAGAGGTCAAGAACTGCAATTCACCGTTATGGGTGTGCTCTTTCTTGCGTCTGGCGACGCAGAATAGCTCAAGCCAGTTGAATGTAGGCCAATTTGGCCGAGTCCGGATATGTACACTATGTTTCAAGTATTGTGCTTGAAGTATTTTAATTATAATATACTATAAACTGTGTTTCATCGCGAGAGCTTGTGCCCGACAGTTACCATGAAGTTGCTGAAAAAAAATCGGCTGTTGAACACGCTGTTCCAAGTATTTTTGAAAAAAAAGCTGACCGTGGATAAGTTCACATTTATCTCCTTTCTAAAGGACGAGGCTAATTTCAAGGGAACAGGCAGCCTGCAAATAGTTTCATAGCCCGTCAATTGTGGCGCCAAATTTCATACTCATTAAGCACGTGTGTATATTTACATGTTAAACACAATAGTCCGGATTTATAAGAAAACTGAATTTTTAACGATTTACATGGGAATAATTCGGACTCACGACAGGTGCGCGTTACAAAAGCAGCGATGCGTGTTGATTACATTCTAACTCACCTGGAAAAATTTTTCGGTTGGGTCGATAAGCATGTTGAGGTTCTCGGTCTGTTCTTCTGTGAGAACATTGGGGTAGGGCAGGATCTGGTCCGTCACCAGCCGACCACAAAAGATGTTCTTCACGAACGACGGCGAAGTTTCAGGTGCCGACTTCGGTTTTGTTTTCGTTGAGGACTGCGGCGCTGCGGCCGTCGACTGCCATCTGCGCAGCGGTGTAAAGTGAGTCAAGGGGGGTAAACAAATTACGTTTGGCAAGTCACGTTAGCCATTACGGCAGGAAAGGATTAAACGGGCATTCGAGGGAGAACATTACGGCATCAAGGGGGTAAAATAATCTGTGGCGGAGTAAACCAAACAGCAACAAAATAGCAAATGTCCAGGGTGCCCAACAAATATCTCATCAGAGAAGCTAAGCAAACCAGCTAGAGGCGCAGCAATTTGTTTGAAATAGTTTACATAGAATACCCCTACAAATGCTTTTACTGAGTAAAATTAGAAACACCAAGTTATGAGCAGTGGCGTGGAAGGGAAGGGCATTGTCACTGAAGCACTTACATATTTCAACAGAGCAGTGTGTGACAGGCGGAGGGAGCGAAATTATAGAATGCAAAAAGCCAAAGGTATAGAATGCTCAGAGTTAGGAATGGTACAATATTCAAAGGGGTTAGAATATCCGCTAACCACCACTCCTCCAGTTATCTTTTCTAACCACATAATTAAGAACTCTTCTCTCCTCACCTCCACCGTGCTTCATTCTCCTTGTAGCCTCATTATATTATGCAAACTATTCAAATTCATATCTCTTCTACTTAGTTGTAGCCTTTTCTTTGTTCTCAAGTTAAAACCTAACTTCCATTCCGTCCACCTAAATTATAAACATTCCTAAATTCACCTCTGTAATAATTTATTCTCCATCCTAAATTCATGTCCATCACAGCCTCTGCTCTACCTACATTAGAGCTTTTCTACATAGGCATCCGTAATAGCCTCTCGTTGTTTACTTCTGCCTAGTGCCTAGCGTCTTCATTCAGCACGGTAGCTGAATAGCCTCAATCGAATGGCTGAATAGCCTTTCCTCTGTAACGCCTAATCTTACTTTTCGTGCATCATCATCCCCACTCTCGTGTGGCCACACGTTCTCTGAACAGCAATGCGAGCGCCTAGTTTTTAGGTCGCTTGCGTTAGGTTGCTGCGCATCAGTCTCAGAGTTGGACTTTGGACTCACGAGGCGGTGAGAGGAGTGACTTTTGGACCCGCGAGTTTGGGGGCGGAGCCAAGAGACTGCAGCTTGCAGTTGCACCACCACCGCCAGATCATCATAATTAATATTATTTCTGAACATGTTATATGAATATTGTTGTGATAATATTGTGACAATATAAAATAAACTCCAAACTCGCGAGTTTGGTGCGCGCTAAAACGCCTGGTTCAACTTACAAGTCACATAGATAGCAGCTAACTGTTCCATTCAAGAATCGTGATCGACATAGTATTCAATAGTACGAAATCCGAATACAAACACTCATCATTTCAATAAATCCTACACAGACAAGGATATATTTTATTAAATGTTTGGAATTGCTTCTCATTGTATAAAATATACTCCGAGCAACCTAAAATTTGTGTCCTCCACTAAAATGTGTACAGAGAAAGCTTAAACCTATTGATCTGCGGGCTTACATTTACAATACGCAGTTAGCTCAATGATTTTAAGGGGAACTGCAAAGCTGAAATGAGTACTGACGGGTTTCCTGTGTTAATAACACCTAAATTAAATGACCAGGAAGTTTTCATCCATTCAAATTAGATCATTCAAGATGGTTTCGAACGTTGAATGATGAGTAAACAGGTCGTTTTAGATGAATGGGCCTACGCTATGACCGTTATATACGGTATACACATCGCCATGATGATCAAGGATCAAATAAGATAGCCAATTGGTAAACATTGTCGTTTACGATAACTCGATAAGGAATGAATGCACACTGATAATACATGATTAGAAATGTTAAATAATCGCTGATGTTCTAAGGATATGATAAATATAACTTATCGAGGGAGGGCATGTATATATGATCTACTCACGAGCATATTTACGTAGTAAATTCCCCAGATTATGCCGCACTTGAATGTTGCACAACGAACTGCAGTGAATGAATGAATTATTCTTGCAAAAAACAATATTAATAATAGTTCCTTAGAATATCTCTTCGATCATAATCAGCATTTAAGTGCTCGGAAAGGAACTTCGCAATTGCGGCATCGGGATTTAAGTTTAGTAATCTAAAACAACACGAGAAAATTCAAAAATAACATCTCTCGAGATTAGGCGTCATGTGGAATAAAGGGAAAACTAATCCCAGTTATCTCTTATAACTCATAATTAACATTTAAATGCTCTAAAAGGAACGACGCAATTGCGGTTTGGGACAGACGCCAGAATTATGTATATGTGCTTGGGGTCACGCAGAAGCTTGGTCTCGGCTCTGAGATCTCTGACGTCATGCTGGTGGCGACGCGTGATTGGCTGGGCCGAGAGGCGCGTCAGCGAGGCAAGGTTTCCACATGATTCAGCTGACACGCAAGCCTAACTATGCTACACAACTCACGTCAATGTTCACAAAAATGTAGATATAACAATGACGATTTTGTCGATACTTTCCACGCGTTACAAACTAAGGAACCCAAATGGCAGTAATTTTTCAACACTGTAAATTCAACTGTGCTATTGACAATAATAAAAAATATATATTTGGGTTGGGGAACATGCTGGGAACATGCTTCGTGCATACCCCATTAGATGATCGATATGATTAGGCCCCAGACAAGTTTTGGAGGACTTCGATGGTACGAACAAAAAGAAGTTGAGGCAGATTCCTCATAACCTTTTAAAAGGTTGTTAACGCCGTAATGGGTAGTGTTCAAAGCATGAAAGCAGGTGAAGGAATTTCAATTTCGTACATTGCTTACGTACTCAGTCCGTATCAACGAAATTCGACCACTGAAATGCTCAGCTCAGTCCTAGCTTTATTAGTCTTTTATGAACAAATTGCTAACACGCTCAAATAAACATTCGCAAAGCTCTCGTTCTGGTCAGCCTTTTCCCTCTTTTTCGTTTTGTAGTTTCTTTTGATTTAGTATCATTGGTTATTGTGTCAGGTCAGGTATACGTGTTCCTATCAGCGTCTTCATCTCAGCATTCTAAATTCCTTGATTTGTGCCACGAACGAAATTGTGAACATTCAGCTATTTCAAAACCTTAGAGAACATCGTGATTCAAGTTTAGTCATCGGAAACGTAGGAAATTTCAGAGATAACATCTCTTGAGATTAGGCGTCATGTCGAATTAAGGGAAAACTAATCCTAGTTATCGGTCCCTCGTGATAACGCTGAACAGCGACACTACATCACCATATGACCTTGTATGATAACGTTAACGGAAGCTCTATTAAGGTCGGTCCAGAAGCCATATTTTGCACAACCTCTTGCCTACACAGTTAAACATGTTGCAGATATAACGTTACGTGTAGACGGAAACACTGCACAGTTTTGAGTCCGTAGGGAAGACTGAACAGTTGCAGCGATAATCGAGCTACAGAGCATAAATTTCCTTTAACTGTGCAGACAAGTCGGCGCATGCGGACGGTAGCAAATTTTTTCGATTCATTTTGTTCCTCATTTTAGATTCGTCAGGCGGAAATGTTCCCGGGAGCAATGTAGGGGGTAATATATGGGGGTAATATTCTAAGGAGTCACCGAATTTATTGCAAGGACTAATTATAATAAGGTTAAGAAGCAAGTTAGACAAGGTTTAAGAATGAGATTTTAAAAAGCTCAAGTAAAAAAAACGAATTAGCGAAAGAATACATTATGATATCATTAATGGTTTAATCAGTAATCATGGATTATAAGTAGTAATTGTAGAAAAGCAAATTCACTACTGAAAGGATTTACAAAAAATTGACCGCAGTAGTACCTCTTTCATGACGACATCATATAAAACTGAGAGAAATATATCTCTGTAAAGGTATCTCTGCACCGTGCGGACGCACTAAAAATTGCTGCATTTTCATTTAGTCCAAAGACTACGCAGATCAAAAATAAGCGCCATGGACGGCCTCTACGCGCCAGAAATTGTCAACTACTAAATTCAAATTTGATACCGTTGTTTGAGCACAAACCAAGTACATTTGAAATAATTCGCATAAAACTTTGCAGTTACTAATAACTAAAGTAAAATCGACACTTATAAAACATGAACGATTATGTGGTTATCTTATGAGAATAGTTCATTTTATTTGTTGCAGAATAAATCATACAAATTCTACAGTAGTTCTATAGCATTGCCAGGACGCTTCCTATAATTACCTAGGATGAGGAAGTTTTCGATAGACTCAAATCACAGGGGAGGATATGTGCGCCATATCAATGGAGAGGTAGACGAAGTTCTTATGCAACGCATGGAGTTGCTAGCAACCTTGACATATAGCAAGGCGCTTCCGTGAACAGCTCGTAGCTCCAGCCTAAAGTAACAGTTTTATCAAGTTCGTAACTTTGTTCGTAATTCAACAAATTTAATTATGAAAAGCTTGTGCAACACGACGTTTAACAATCAAACTGCATCAATAGACTGTGAGCTGATTAAATAACGAGTTTGATACAAGTTAAAGGTACTAAAATCGTTATTGCTCAGTCATAGCGGCGTCCAGGTCGGCCATACAAAATCAGTTACGTAATTTTCTGCTTCAAATTTGCTACGCACTTGATGTGCAAACACAATCATCAAGGAAAAGTCCTCGATTGTTTGAAGAAATCGAATGAGGATTTTAGGCAGCTTCCCATGTATAAAATTAAATGCACAGACGAGTGACGAAGTAAATAAATTTGTACTATTCAACAACTAACTTAGCTTGCTCTCATCAGTGCTCAGGAGTGAAAGATTTATTTTTGGTAAATTGTACAGTAAACAATGCTCGTAGTGTCAAGACAGTCCAAGTGGAAGATTGCAGGCTCAGGCCATTCATGCCAGCAGCCTCGTTGTACAGAGAATAGGGAAGGTGGAATCAGTTTTTTTAATTGTATAGCCACAACAAATAAAAGCCCCGGATTACAAACATCTTCACTAAGGAATATCACGGAGAAAGACCAGAATTTGTCACAATTATGATGAAAAGCGACCAGATCCGAGTGAAGTCAAGCATTTGTTTGCATCTTGTTTTGGTCGCGGAATTAATGATTTTGTTTCAAATAACACGCATGGTAAAAAGAGACTGAAAAAATATACTGCGTTCCAGGAATGGTTTGTGGTCGTTACCTTAGGCAATAGTATGCGACTATATGTATCATGAAAATTGTTATAATCGCCCATCAAGAGTTATATGAATTTCATGAAGAAATGCACTTAACTTTGCGCTTACGCGACGTTTCAATCCTCGTCAATCATTTCCTGGTTCTGAACGCATGTTCATAAGCAGCTGGCGCACTAATCACACAAATATCGGGTTATTCTGCAGGATGTTCGAGACCTGACTGGGTAAATTTACAATGCTGTTAATGTTTTAAATAAGACCAGTTTCCTGCTGTTGTAACAGATAGGAGTTGACATGCAATTCGCAGGCGTTTCGGGTCATCACCCTTACAAAGAGCGATCTAAGTTAAGCATTTGGCATTAGTTTAGACAACAGAAACTACATAAAAGACGAAGAAAATCCATTTCCAGGGACAAGTAATCTTCCTGAACATAAGGCTTTGTAAGTTGTTCATGGTGTTGGATAAAAATATTAAAGATTCCAAGACAAGGAGGCCTCAGAGTGCTCAGACAATTGAATAATTCAAACTCAAGATTTGATTGAAACAAAAATCATGTATTAAATATTATAGTTTATTATTTGCTCTGTTTTGCTCTGAAAATTTTGCCTCAGACTGCCATTAGGGTAACATAAAAACTAGCAGAGCCTCAATTGAGAGAAGGATACCATAAAATGGGGTGACTAGGACCATTTTTAGCGCTGGTACTCTTTGCAATACAAATATTCACATATTAAATACATAAAATATATCTTTATTGCATTTATAGGCTATCTCACGGTACTTCAAGAGCCATAAACACAATTTTTTCAAGCAAGAACTCTGAGCTATAGGATTTTCTTTTCCTAGAGACAAATTGGTCTAAGTCACCTTGTTTTATGGTAAAAGCCTTGTTATTTTAACTAAACTTTTTGAATTTTTAAAAAAGATAAATGAAGCAAACAATATATGTACAACTCCTTTACAAATGTAATATTTTTTGCAGGTGACAAAATAATTGTAAAAATTTTGTGACTAACAGGTTTACCACACACAGTTCAGAACACATAATTTCAGCAATTCGAGAATTATTTCCTCAAGCAAACTTCTTGTAAAATAATAGCTACATGATCTTTTCATCTAACTCAACAAATTTCATATTAAAATGAAAATTAAATTTGTTAATGTGACATTGAGAGTCCTCTGTGCATGCATAATGTGCAAGGTTTCATACACTGAACAATAAATCTGAGTTAGCAACACCTGGTAACCTTAGATAACATTCTTCACAAATTTGACTAGGTAACTTATCACAAATTTGACCTGCGAATCAAACATGTTAGTCAGTAGATAATTTTTATTACAAGTCATAATTCCACAAAAAAGTGGGCAATACTTTTAATTCTCATTCAAGTGCACACGGCGGCCCAAGCGCATATGGCAACCCAATTGCACACGGCGGCCCATGTGCAAATGTCAGCCCAAGTGCACATGGCAGCCCAATTGCAAATGGCAGCCAAATTGCGCATGGCGGCCCAAGTGGACATGGCAGCCCAATTGCACACGGCGGCCCAAGTGGACATGGCAGCCCAAGTGCACATAGCAGCACAAGTACCCAAGTACACATGTTCCCATGTCAGCCTCCCCTAACTGATGGTAAGCTGACCTGGCTTGGTGGCTTTAGCTTGGAAAGCTATCAGTAATTGGCTGATGAGGTCAAGATCTCATACGTAATAATTTTGATATTTTTAAACTAATTAACAATACCCTGGCTAGAAATTTGGCATGAAAAATCACCAAAATGCATTTATATATATAGTATCTAAGACAGTGGTAACTGTAGGAAGATTTATTGAGCCATTTTCCTAACTGAAAAACTAATAAATTCAATTCCAATAATTGCACGTGTCTGACACAATATATCACTCAACATAGGCAGTGGATAGAGAGTAGAATAAGAACTAGATAGAGAGTAGAATGATAGCCTTTTCGAGATGAAGGGATGAATTTGGCAATTTTTTTAGTTTTAGATGCCAATGCACTGCAATAAAAACAATATAAATTTAGGACAGAGAGCAGTTGCCAATTGGAATTCTCCACAGACAATAATTTACACCGCCAATGGATAATGTATATTGGTGAATGATTAATAAGAAGTTATGAACTATTGTGCTTTACAATTGGTAAAGAGGGCAAATACTTATGAATATCATGATTGTAATTGAACCTTAAATTAGACTTGGATCAAATCATGGCTTAGAAAGCATATATATAATTTTCTCTCTAGGGTTATAGCAGGTATTATAGGAAATATAAACTTTCTACACTGCAAAGTGAAGTTTCCTTTCATATTTAAGCTCACAAGATGAAAAGCTATCAGATTGTTAACAAAACTTGTTAATTGGGTCACATAATTCCAAATTTAACCAAAATACTTACTTTGGAGAACAGTAATTTGAATAATAATTTCAATTTTGCAACTCTTAGGCTTTAGCCTAAAATGACAAAATTGGCAAAAGCTGTCCATAATCAAGCCAAAACTCTACCTCGGTATAGAAATATTACCCTTGCTCATGGCAGTGTCTCTTGCCTATTTTTTTTTAAATCAACATAGTAAATCACCTGTGAATTTATGCATTTTTAGCTGTGATTTTCAAAATCAATGTAATATCCCTGATATTCTAGCTGCCTATGTGCAAGGTAAATTATATCCCATATAATTGTTAATATAACTATACAGTAAAATTGGAAATTTTCAATTTATTTAAACATGACTTTGGACAGGCATGGAATATGTATATCTACTTTTCCAGCCATGATTACAATCAATGACATTATGACACTTAAGTTGGCACTTGACAGATACTGCACAGTGCACATAACTTGGCAACCTTGCCGCTTATCACTAAAAGCAATACGTAGGTACATATACATATAATACTTGTCACTTGTCAGAACTACAAAATGGAGGGTTCAATGACCACATGATGGCTATGAAGCTCTTTTGATTATGTTTGGAACAGGATTGGAATTTTACTGATTATGACTAAAATTTTGTAGCTTCAAGTGCAAAATTTTTCATACATTTTGAACCTTGCAATCTGATTGTGCATTTTTGTTACCAATTAGTTTTGTTAACAATTAGGATAGGAGTTATTTCATCTAGCAGCAATCTTGCTGCTAGACTGCAGCAAGATTGCTGCACTGCACACTGCACTGCAGTGAGTACTGACTACTCACTACTGAGTGTCAGAGACTCAGAGAGCGCATTTTCTTGTCAATGAAAATGTGAAGTCACGGTCGGACAGACAGACAGAGGGAGACAGGGACAGACAGATGGATGGACATTATGAGCACACACGGGACACACCACACATAGCACCTTTTTTCCATAAATGAAAAAATGATAAAAATAGATCATTGTTCTTATTTCAACTGAAGAACAAGAAATCAGAAAAGGGCATTGAAGAAGAGAGTGTGACCATTTCTCAAATTATAAACACTGCAGCCATTCTATTTTTTTAATTTCAATTTTTCATATCAAAACAATGGATTAAAAGAATGGATTAAAATATGAATTATAGTAATATAAGAACTTATGAAGCACAATCACAATCAGGAAACAAACTCTGTATACAAAGCATGAAGCAGCAAGCAAGGAGTAAGAAATAACAATCAACATCACACCATGAAATATGGCTTGGCCATATAACAATAAAGTCAATAATTAAAAAAAAAAGGTGTCAATCAAATACTGACAGCTGTCAAATTTTTAATCAAATGTCACACTTGTCAATCAGCATCAAAGTATTTGGCAGTACCGAGAGTACACATACTAATTGTACCCAAAGTTTGAAACTAGGGCTCAGTAATTGGGCTACGTGTAGGCTACTACATCTAATTACTGACTTACGTTCGACGGTACGGTTACAGTACTATACTATGGTACAGTAGGTACACATTACACAACTTAATAAATTAATCGTATTATAAATTACCCACACAGCAAAAAAAACTAAAGGACACTCATTACAAGAGTGACATGACATACCTTACACTTGCCGTTGATGGAAAAGATTGTGCCACCAATGCCCTTGGGGCAGCCAATAACCTAGCTCGAGATGAATGCATACTGAAAACGGGACCAACACTCAAACCTCAGACTCTCACCGACGCGACGGCTAAATGTATACTGAGCAGTGTTGCCAGGTTTTTTCTCTGCGAGAATACCAGATTGCATAGCTCAAAATACCAGAAATATACCAGAAATTCTATTGTTCGAAAACTGACTAATACCTCCAAATTTAATTAAACTATTCGTCAGAAACGTTGGTTAGAAAAAGAAAAATATATAGATCTCAGTACTCACTGCAGTGACTGACAGAGAGCGCATTTTCTCGTCGACGGAAACGTGGTCACGGACGGACAGACGGACATGGTGAGCACAATAGTGAATTTTTTTCATAAATGAGAAAATTCGCTAAAAAGTATTTTATGTACTGTGCATTTATCAGTGTGGCACTTCTTCCCCTTCGCTTAACATGAGCAAGCCACGGAAACAGGTCATCTTCCATTTTCATACATGCTTACAGGTCATCTTCCATTTTCATACATGCTTGCATATTACATTAATCTAACATTTCGGGTTTGATCACTTGTTACAGCTAAGCAGATAGCTTTTGGTCCGAATAAGGGACTGCAGTACCCTAGTTGAAATTTTATTTCGTTACTTGTTTTTCACATAGGTGACTTGTGAAAACATTCACTCCACGAATGCATTGGAGACCTGGTCAAAGTAGACACGTGGTGCAGTAGGCAGCCAGTTCTATGAATGGATGATGATTTTCAAGATCAGTGAAATATTGTATGGCACCCCCGAATTCAAGTGACACTCTATAATTCAAACCACCAAACAAAAATGGTGGAGCTTGCGTCGCAGAGATCGGTTCGACAACCTCACTCGTCCTGTTCCCTATCATCACTGATCAGTAATCAATCAAGGATCATCACTCTCGTGTTCATATTGCACTAAGCACTTTTGTTAAATGTTAACAATTAGATTGGGGTTATTCCATCAAGCGGTAAACTTGCGGTTCCAAAAATGGCGGGAAAGCTCTAATCGCGCCGCTCTGAAGGCAATCTATATAATCCACTCCTACGCTGGAGGAAGTTCAAACTTCAGAGGTGGAATTTAATGCAGTAAATTTGCAGTAAGTCAGAAAATACCAGAAAAATACCAGATTTAGGCATATATACCAGATCTAAAATATTCATACCAGACACCTTCTGAAAATACCAGATTTGTGAAATCTGGTATAGAAATATACCATCTGGCAACGCTGAATTACTGAGGCTCCGTCTGAACAACTGAGTGCTGGCTGACCTGAGCTCAGTGAGCTGAGGTAGTGATGTTCTCTCAAAAGTAGAAACTTCTCGTACACATTGTCACAGTGACTCCAAATACAGTGTTGCCAAAAATTTTTCTCGTAGAGTATACCAGATTTCACAGGTCAACATACCAGATATATAACAAGTTTTTTTCTTGTCTAAAACAGATTAATACCAAAAAATGTAATGAAAATATTCTTCAGAAATGTCGCTATTCTTCATTGCTCGGTCAGAACCTTTCAGTTGGTCAGAACCCTTCTCATTGTGCTTGGCCTGTCGTAGAATTAGCAAAACTGAACATAGGTCATTTTTTTTTCTTCTCTTACGTAAAACTCTGACACTTTCCTTACAAACATTACCTACTGCCTGCCTGGGGAAAATTGTTACATCACAGGCGCATCTTACTCCATTTAATTTGCAAAATTTGAAAGGGTAGTTTTCTACTACGTTTCAAGTGTTTTTTATCTATTATCAATTATTAGGAATTTATATAACTGGTCGCCTACATTTTAATGGCAAGTTTAATTTCCACAAAAATGGGATTTTTTAACAAAATTTCTCAAGTGACAACTAAAAACACGATATTGTGTCCGAGAAAAAGTGAAATATAACAAATATATTGTTTTATTATGTGTTCGAGAAAAATGTGAAATTTAACAAACATATTATTTTATATCAGTCAAACTCCCGAAGTGTTGGAATACTCCAGATTTTAGCAAATATACCAGATCAAAATTGTCCATATCAGACACGGTCTCAACATACCAGATTTGGGAAATCTGGTATGAAAATATACCAGTTGTACAACTGCTGTGCTTCGAATGAACACAGGAACGTAGCTTCAAACACTTCCCTTCCCACAAGAACTTAGCTTCTAGTACTTCCGGACTACACTTTATCAGCCGCAAGTCATAAGACAGATGACATCCATTGAAGTAGTCCGATCAGCCCACAGGAAAACAGCCTGCAATAGTTTGGCACAGAATCGTCTGCCAGTGCTCGAAAAAATTTTGCACCACTCTGACACAGCATGCCGGAGCCTTGCAGTGAATTTGAGGACAGCCTCCAAGCACCAACCTGAGGACCGCTGAAACCGCTATAATGTTTTGATTTATTTTTAGGAAATTTTGCTTATAAAAATTGCTTTGAGTACTTATGTGGAGCTCTGTTTGCAGTATCATTTGCAGACAAGAATGATTTAGAAGGTGGCTAAGGAATACTCTTTCAGCCTTGGAAGCGTTATGAAACTCGCATAGGAAGCCTGCCGGGAGTGTAGAATGGAAGTGCCGGCACTGAAGAAGTAGGACCATGGCCTGTTGTGTAGCCCCAATATGCGAGGCTGACTCAACTAGTATTGAAATATTGTGCTCTTCAGAGAGGAACTGTGGTCCGGGTGTCGCATTCTTTCTGTTCGAAGCAGAAATAACCAATAATATGCGTTTAAAAATTACTTTTTAAATACAACACTTCTTAAGAATCCAGTGTCTCAGATGTTACACATGTACAAAGAATTTCCAATTTTATTATCAAATATTAAAAAATTAGTTTTTAATTTAATTTTTATAAAAATAAATTTTGCAAATTCTGTCAATTGAGTCATGCATTGTCTCTAACTTTACGGAAGTGTGCAAAATTTCAGATCGATTGGAAAAGTAGAAGTGTGTTAAATATCGAATACAAGATATGTACTAGACAAAATTATTTGTTCAAAATTTTTAAATTAAAAATTTTTTATTTTCAATTTTAAAAAAATTATATATTCTGTCCATTGATTCATGCATTGTCTCCAACTTTACGCAAGTGTGCAAAATTTCAGATCGATTGGACAGGTAGAAGTGTGTTAAATATGGATTTTAAGATTTGTAGCAGACAAACAAACAAACAATAAGAAGTGAAGTTAAAGAGAAGTGTTGTAATAAAATACTTAAAAAAACTTTTTAAAAAACCACGTTTTTCTTGTGGACTAAAAAGTAGAAAATAAATTATGGTTCGCCCCAAAAAAACGTGTGTCGGGCAGATTTTTAAATTTTGGAAATTTGATGGTGAACGTACAGATTACTTGCCTTGACGTACGTATCGATGATACGCAGCGTAAGCGCCTGCTCGTCTATAACGTAAGCGCCCGCACGTCATACTATATGTATATACTATATATATACTTTACTCAATTAAGCCAATTTAGGTCTCTAATTGCTAGTTTTTATGATTGTATCTGAAATTGTTTGGCGAAAATAGCCTGCATGCCGAATTTCAGATCTCTAGAGCAATCAGAAGTGGGCTAATTTTCGTTGTCAATGTTAACAACAAACAAACAAACAAACAAACAAATAAACAAACAAACAAACAAACAAACGCGAAGCTAAGCTAAGAAAAACGTTTTAAAAACGTGTTAAAATAGGGTTAAATTACGTTTTGAAATTAAATGATCGGAATTAGTGGACTTGAATGTTGCTCATCATTTCCATTCAGAGGATCTTTCATTAATGTATATCATTAATCGTTTTAAGTTCATTTTCGAGGCGTTTTTTGTGAAGAGTATTTCGCAGTGCAAGGGGTATTCGAGATACCGGTAAGCGTAATGAATATTTACTTTTTTAATTTGGTAATTTAAGAATAGTAACGAATATCTAATTCCCTTTATTCAATCTTCAGATATTTTATTATCTGCCCCGTACAATATTTTGATTCTTTGTACCAATAATTTTTAATAAATAGTTTTGATTTTATCTATTTATTGGTAAATGAGCGTTCATGATTGTATCTATTCATTGCGATTTAGCAGAAGGAACCAAATGTTTTTTGTCACTTGAGTTCTGCCCCGGGGTGGAAGCCATAAATCTCCAAGATGACTAGTGATGAAAAGGTTCACGTATAACCAATGTGTGTCGTTAAATTTAAAATCTACCTCAAAATTAAATCTAGAAATTAGTATGAAATTATTTTGACTGGCATAGGTTGAAAGACGCAAGGCTAAAATATTTGTTTATTATCATACGAAAAAAATAAACGACTAGTGATGAAAAGGTTCACGTATAACCAATGTTTGCAGTTAAATTCAAAATCTACCTAAAAATTAAATCAAGAAATTAGGCTAAGATCCCTGTCGGTTAATTTTGGGATTTGTCCAGGGTACTTTTTTTGATCAACAGCCGTCGAAATTAGCAAAAAAAGATTGCATAACGGTTTTTTTGAGCGTTGTATTTCCTTTGCGATGTCCCGTTGGCTTCTACAGCTTTTTGCATAGGCCAAAATCTGCGCCTTCTCGGCCTCTGTGAGTCTTGTCCCCTTTGCATCTTTTTTACTTTGAAAAAATACAAATGAGGACAACGAACTACACCAGAAATACACCAAAAGTACCGTAAATGGCGAAAATCATGATATTCTTTATGTTGCTGTACTTTTTAACGTGAAAATAATACAGAAAGATACTAAAATGAAGAAAAACCCATCATGGTCGTGTAACAATTTTTACCTAGGGTTTTCTAAATTTCATCATTTCTTCTCATATATTTTGAAAAAATTATTTTGTTCGTATAGCATTGGAACCGTTTTAAAACGCAGTTTAGCCTCGTTTAATTAGAATCCTGAATTTTTTATGCAAGAAAAAATATTTAGAGAAAACTGGCAGTCGTATAACAATTTCCGCCACTGTGTATATGAATTACATCAAAAATGAACCAGTCCATTGCAGTCGCTGCATCTTGCAATGGATAACTGAAGTAAGTTAAGATTGGAGCGATGCGTTCACTATTGAGTCGTGCAAAACTTAACGGAAAATTTTTATCTCGGGAACTTAATTATTA